TACTACTGCTGTCCATGCTGGGCCCATTACCCGTCTTGTCATGAGTCTGGTTCTGGCTATCGCCCAGCCTCGTCTGAAGCTTGGGCTCGCTAAACTCTCAATGTTGAAAAGATCTACAGAAACACTAAATTGCAGGTGTTCGGGCTGAAGTTCTCCAAGTTTCGGAGCTTTCAGGGTCAACGCTTCCGGACCTCAATAGCTATTGGAGCCGAAAGCTTTGGGCTTATCTTGTTTACGTATCTATATGTATATACACATAACTATATACATGTATAAATATACATGTATATACATCAATATACACAAATATATATATATATATATATGTGTGTGTGTGTGTATATATATATATATGCACACACATTGATGTCCAGCCTGTAAACCTTCGAGGCAACCCAGGATGTTCCACGACAGACTGGGGCAGGAGCTCTGTCGCTGCTGTGCCAAGTCGACCTCGTAGGCAATGGTTTCCAGCCTGTGGAGCTGCTTTTGATCATTTGGGAGTTTCCGAACATTAGGGGTAGCTTATTATTTTGGGGTCCTTTATAGCAAGGATCCTACTATTTAGGGTACTATATTAGGGTCCCCTATTTTCGGAAACTCCCATTTACGTCACGCAGTAGGAGTAGATGTCACGGAGTAAGACACGCCAGTGCCTAAATTTTACCCACATCCCCAAACGCTACTAGGCGGGCCTCTTCACCACGTACTTGACAGAGTCATAGCGGTGCCGCAGCGTGCTGTTGCGGAAATCGAACCTAGGCCGGCGGCTCCCTCAGTGCTAGGAGCCGCGAGGGTCGATGGTAGGGCCGATGTTCAGTTGCACTAAATCCTGAAGCCCAAGATCCTAAAAAACCCTAAACCAACCCTAAACCCCAAAAAAAACCCGGTGATTCTTTTACGTCTCTCTGGCGTTCCTGAGTGAAGGCATCAGCTTGCTTTAGTCTGTCCAGTGTCGCCAAAGCCCGGCTCTGGCGAACAGCGCACTTCCTCAATGCTAGGCGGCTGTACACAACTCACCAGATACTTCGTGGTGCCGGCGGTGTCCAAAAATCCCGAAAGAGTCCTTGAGGTCTGTTAAGTGGGTCCGCTTCATTGCAGTTGGTTCTTTGGGCACCTCCGCCCCAGGCGGTCATTGAAAATCGCCCTGCAGGAAGCACCCAGTGTGACCAAAGAGCCTTTGTGCACATGCGGGCAGGCGTCAAAGCTTAAAGCGCTGCAAGTTGGACGTCTGGCAGATGGCGGCAGAATTCTGCAAGAGGGTGCTGCGTGACAGTTTAAGACAAGTGAGGAAGCGTTGCACTAGCCATGCCATCTCACCGATCGCAAACAATTGAAACCCGAAGCTGTGTCTAAACCATGCTCCATGGCCTTGAAAAGTGCGAGGGGGCATCTCAAGCGAAAGCAAACATGCGAAAGGTATTTCGAAGATACAACAAACGTCGAATGCCAAGGACTCCTCACAGACATGTACATCTGGCCACGCCATGCAAACGGAGAGGCTGCATCAGGACGGTCTAAATTTATCCGCCCACCTCTTCTGAATGGTGCTTCTCCGCACCCAAGCAGGCACAAATGACTGCGTTGAAAAACGTGGCAGCCCTCATGGAACACCCCTTTACCCAAGCGATCTTCAAGCGATCTCGACGAAGGGCAGGTCGTTGGCAACGGGCTCACTGAATGTCAAACCTTCGGTCATCTACTTCTCAACTCGTGCAGCCGTACAGTCCAATGTCATCTCTGCAAGTCGCCTTTCAGCCAACGGCACGCCCTTGCGGCAGTTGTCCCTCAAGGGGCCGTGTTTAAGCATTGCTAAGCAAGGCCACTTGGTGGGAGCTCGTGGAAAAGAGTCGTCGTTCAAGGGGGGTTAGATTGATCACTGAGAGGCAGAACTGGGCTATTCCTAAGACCGCCCGCTTTATCTACAACCCATTGCACCAGTCAAGTCTTCAGGTTTTACCGATTTATCGTGGGCCATGGCGGTCCAACTGGAAACTTCATCTTCCGATACCTATACCCTAAGCCCTACACCCTACCGGCCCCATCAGTCTAACCCCAGATTCCCTTGATTTGGACGGACAGATGGAATTGCCAGGGTGCACGAGTGAAGTGGTGCTGCCAGGCAGCCAAAAGGCAAACCCACTGAACCCCAAGCTTTCCATGCTCTTTCAGAATGCTCCTGGCCCTAGCGACAAAGACTGGCCGGCTTGCTTAAGGGCTTCCTAGTTTCTCTTTTCCGAACCTACGCTGCATGAAAGTGAACTCAGACTCGCCCTTTCAATCGGCTTTTCTTCTGACACCAACCCCGAACAAGCAAAGATCTTCACTCGGTGCCGCTCTCCTCTGTGATAGGACAGTCTACTACTAACAGCAAGGGTACCACCGCGGACTGGGTGGCATATGACACACGCTGTCGGCGCAATGCTGTCATGCTTGTGGCCTGCAAGCAAACAGGACAACAATTACGGAGAAGGATCTTGCGTGGAGTCGACCCGCAGTGAATGCATCGATGAACGTGTGCCTACGGTCGGTGGATGTTGTTGGCACGTGCTTCAAGCTTGATGCCTCCAGCTTGTGCTGCGAAAGGGGAGAAAATGTGCTAAATCCGAGCCTTCAAAACACTTCACATGATTCGAACATGCTGTAGGTCTGGAGGATAGCTTCAGCTTTATTCCAGATTCTATATTGTATCTGCCCCTACCCAGCCGCCCCCTCTCGCTGGTCGCAGGGGCCCAGGTAACCAGTTTTTTTTTTTTTTTTTCTCCGTGAGCGTTCGTTGTGCCCAATGGCTTCGCACCCAGTCCCTCGGGTAGTGCTTCCCGCGTCATCCCAATCGCCCCCTCTCGCCGTTCGCGGGGTAGGGGCACCCGACTTCTGTACCTCTCTTCTTTACCTGCACTCCATCGACGAGTGTTTGCGCCCATGAGAGAGACCATCTCTCGCGCCCCACGGATTCCCATCCACCCCCTCGAATCGATCTTCGTGTGTCAATCCAGTCGCCCCCTCCCGGCCTTCGCGGGGGACTGGCCAACCGACCTAGTAGGTTCCTTAGGCTCGCCTCCACTCCCTCGACGAATGCTAGTGGGCAACCCTTCTCGCTCCGAGAAGTAGTTCCGTTCCTGCCATCACGTACATCACGTAGGGCTGCCCACGTCCTATCCTTGCTTCTCGCTCCGAAACCTTGATCTGGGCCAACGTCCCCCTATAAGGCCGTCGACCCGCCTCGACCCCCACTGCGTTCGCCACGAAGGGCACCCCATGTCGTCCCAGACCCTGATTCTCGCGTCGACATCGGGGATCTGGGGATACGTCCCTCGTAAGGCCGTAGTTCCGCATCTGTTGTGAACTCAGCGCCGCGCCACCACGCAGTGCTCCGTATGTCATTCCAGACCCCCCTTCCCGCCCCGAAGTAGCGGGTCTGGGTTAACGACCGGGTAAGGCCGTAACTCCACTCCATTCCACTGCGTTCACCCCACAGGGCTCCTAGAAGTCCCATGTAGGGCCGTATAGCTCCGCTTCTTTCGTCTCGCGTTACGTAGCGCTCCTCACGTCGTTCCCGACCCCGCGCCTCGCTCCGAGATGTTGGGTTCGGGTAGCCGACCCTCGTATTGCGGCAGCCGCGCTCCGAGTTCGGGGGTATGAAAGTACGACCCCCGTGCAGCACAGCCCCGATCTTACATCTGTTTGCAATGCAGGGCTCCACATGTCGTTCCAGACTCTCTTCCCGCTCTGAAACCGGGGGTCTGGACGCCCCCCGTGGCGCGGTTCTCAGCCCCCGCCCGCTTCATCAAGCTGGGCCCCTGCTTCTGCCCAAAATCTCTTACCATATGTTACTCCCGCAACTTCCCGTGCTCCATACTCCGCGCAGGTCTTCCCTCCTGCTTTCCCAGTTCCCTCGCGCCCGACCTGTCCTCCGCGTCCTGCTGCAAACCAGGTTTCCCGTTAGCTAAACACCCCCTGTCCAGAGTTTGACGTCTGCTTCGTCCATAGTCCTACGGGGCCCCGCTTATCTCCATTCCGCCCCTCTGCCTTGACTGTCGGCTCTTTCCGCTGTTCCGGCCCCCTTGTGCCCAATTCGTGCCAGGCTCCTGTCCCTCCTCTCCGCGTGTGTGTGTGTGTGTGTTTTTTTTTCTTCTTTCTCTTGACCCAGTGTATTTCCCGTCCTGCTTTTGAATTGTGTGCCTTGCACCCTGCTGTCGCCCTCCTCCCTCTTTCGCGTTCGCAGTTGCTTTCGCCCCACTGTGCCGCTCCTCTCTGCTTCGTTCTAATCATGACTGGGTGGGCTTTGAATTTTGTGTGCATCGTCCCCCCCCTTATGGGTGGTTCTGTGACGGTTGCCCGACCTGTCCATCTCCGTACGCCCGCCTGCCCAGGCCTGCCTGCATTCAGCCTATGTTCTGCATGCACTGCCAGGTTGCTAAGCTTTCTGTCTGCATTGTGAGCACACTGCGTTTCCTTAGGCTGTCTGCTCGAGTACTTGGCCCCCAGCTAACCCCCATCATCAGCTGTGCCTCATGGAGCCACAGCCTTCCTCGATCAAGCTAGGAGGGCGGTGAATCTCAGCTTGCTGCTGGCTGAGCGCAGCATTGACCGGTTCGTGCCTCCAACGCCGGTCAGTTCGGCCCGCACGCCTCCTGCCCGCACAAAGCGCTCGCGCAGCCGCTCCCGTGCTCGTTCTCACAGCCCGAAAGCATCCGAGCTGGCTCCTAAGCCGCGTCCAAGGACTCCTAACCCTCCCAGGTTCTTTTCTAGTACAGGAAACCGCATCAGTAAACTTCAGCCTCCAGCAAACCCGCGACCACCGAAGCCTATGCCTATGCTGCCCCAGACGGGCGCTCGTAGCTCCAGTGCCAACGGTGTCTTGACGCGTGGCAGGTCCATGCAGCCTCCGGCCCCTACCACGCCTGTGCCCTCGCGGCGGCCTCATGGCCCTTGCCCTAATAAATCCCCTGCCTCTAAGACCCGTGCTGCCACGCCAATCATCGGCCCTCGAGCTGCCACTATCTCAGCTCCTGCTCGACCTGGCCCAGCACGGGACCCGCATCCTCGCTCTCCTGCCCCGCGCACCGTGTACTCGGGGGCACCTCCAACAGCTGCCCGTGTTGGCCGCCCTTCGGTCTCCCCACCAGGTACACGCCAACACCAATCGCCTCCTGAGCAGGCTGCGCCGATGACGTTGGCCCCTTCTGCACTGTTCCCCCCAGGCTTCTACATCTTGGGGTTGCCGCAACAGCCTTCCATAAGCCAACTTGACGCCATTTTCCAGTCGGTAACTGGCAAATCCGGCACCCTGGCCGGGCTAGCCCCCACCTTCCAGCTAGCCCCTGTGGCTCGACGCTCCCGCAAGCGTCTCCCATTCTTCCTGACGCATGCCAGCTTCGCTGATCCCGACCTTGTCCGGAGCATAATGGCGGAACTCAAGCAAGCGGGTGAAGTCGACCACAAAGGTCGGGCCTGCATACCGTGCCCTGCCGGTACGCTGAAGGTCTCTATCGCCCGTTGCTCCGTTAAGCCGGCCCAGGCTGACAACCACACCACCGCAGACCAGGTTGACAGCCGTACCATCGCAAACCAGCCGCTGGCCATATGCACTATCCCGCGTCTGCCAGCTGAACTCGCCGGAGTAAAGGCAGTCGCCTTCCATGCATCTGCGCAAGACCTACCGCGCACCTGCGTCTGTTGCCGCCAAAATTTCAACATCGGAGAGGCACTTGTGCGCCTTTCTTGCCTCCACGTGGTCCATGCCGAATGCATGGTCAACTGGCTCAGCTCTCCACACGCGCGCGGTCGCTGCCCAGAGTGTAACCTTCCAGTGGCTGCAGAATGAACGCAGGCGCTAGCCGCCCGCTCGCACTACTCTAGGTTAGACCAGCTCGCACGGTATCTTCCGCTTCACATGAAAACATGCTCAGCCCGCTGCACTGCCGCTGCTTTCAGTCTCGCTTCTGCAGCATTGCACATTTCGGGCTGTCTTTCTCCCTCTCTCTCTCTGTTGCTCCCTCTCCTCTCCCTCTTGTTTTTTCCCGCCTTCCTCTTTCTTCCCGTTCTTCCCCTCCCGCCCCCTCCCCTGCCCTGTCCCTCCTGCCTCTTGCCCCTGCCCCACTCCTGCCCTCTCGCCTCCTCCTGCCCTGTCTACCCCTCTTCTGGCCCAAACCCCCCTTCCGGGCCTCTTTTTGCCTAGTTGGGCCACTTCTGCCCGTTTCCTTGCTCTCTCGCTCTTCCTCCTCCCCTCTCTCTCTATTCTAGCCCAAACCCCCCTTCCAGCTCCGTCTCGCCAGGTTGGTCCTCTTCATGCCTCAGCCGTTTGTCTCCTCTCAAGCCCGGCCATGGATTTCCTTGAGGATTCGGACGCCTCCGCAAACTCGTCTGAGGACGAGGGGCCGCTTTTGCTGGCCCAACCTCCTGGCAGACTCCGCCACCGTGTGGGCCACAAGGTCCCCCTGCCCGGATTCACGGGCAGGTCTCTAGGGGACGATGTTTCCTGGAAAGGGTCAGGCACAACCCGCGTAGCCGCAATCCAGTGCGCTAGCTCCAGCATGGACCGGCATCAGTGGGGACTATGGTTCGGGGAGTGTCTTACCTCCTTAGGCGCGGACATAGGTATCCTCTCCGAAACTGGCCTCCACACAGATTCCCACCACACCCTCGCGTGCAAAGGTCTTCTCGCCAGAGGATACCAGGCCGTAAGCCACGGCCGACCGCCACAAAGCCACGGTTCAGGTGGGGTGCTCCTTGCCGTCCGTTCGGGCTACCCGGGCCAGTGGTCCGACATCAGCCGGGACACCGACGGCAGAGGACTCGCTGCCACCCTCATCACCTCCACTGGCCCTTCACTCCGCGTTCTGGCTGTCTATGCTCCTGTCGGGGCCTGTAGCCCAGGTTTTTCCAACAGCCCGCTCTTCCAAGCTGAAGAATCACTCAATCAGTTCGTCCAGCAACAGATACGCGTGTCCGCCGGTAATGATACCGCGCTCATCGTGGGTGGTGACCTCAACTCCTTCACCTCCCGTGCCCTCGATACTTGGGGCGGCGCGTATGTCGACCGCCCAGCCTGTCTTGCAGCCCTCCTTCTCAGGCAGGGACTGGTAGACACGTTTCGGGCCCGTCATCCTACTCTGCAGACCTTCACATATTACGCCCGCTCCGGAGCCGCTAGTCGCCTGGACGCTGTGTGGTGGCTGCCTTCCCCTAGCCACGAGGTCCTGGTACTCAACGCGGCCACCGTCTGGCAGTGGGATCGTAGAGCTGACCACGACCCAGTAATCACCGACCTTAGTGTAGAACTCCCTGACATCCTTCCCACTGACGACCCTCCGCCACCGTGGCGACAATACATGCGCAGATTGGACCGCGATCTCCCATCACGAGTCCACTCCAACATTGCGCAACATCAACCCGAACTGGCCCACCTGCACGACAGTCTCGCAGCAATAGAGCACCAGTGGAATTCTCTCCCACAACCACAATGCGAGGGCCTGGATGGCCTGTTTGGGGCCCCCTCCCTACAGGTGCCTTCCGACCTCCTATGCACCATGCATGCAGCGCACGACACCCTAATGCGTATCCTCTCCTCTTGCTTGCCCCCGCCTGAGCCAGTGGCTAAGAGGTTGCAGGGTCGTACTGCCTCGGCTTGGCATGCCTGCATCCTGGAGCTGCGCCGGGTCAAGCGAGCCATATTGGACGATGTGCAAGCATCGGGGCGTCTGCGACCACACTGCCTATCGTTGCTCGACCTGGCAGACAGCTGGGCAAAGGCAACAGGAATGGATTCCCATCATCGAACCCAGCATGCCCGCCCTGCCTTGCCAAGCTGGGACACCTTCGATTCTGACCCTGCCGCCTGGGCGCGCAGCCTGGGCTTCCCCCCTGAAATCCTTGCGCAGATGCCGGAAGCCTCTGGCGTCGGCGTCACCCCTCCGCCTGCCCGCTCGCAGGCGGAGCCACCGCGTATCACCTGGGATATTCTCCTATCTGGGGGCCGCTCCCCTGCGCAGTGTGTGGCCTCTATCGATAGCCTTATCTCGACAGCCTCCGCTAAACACGCGCAGGTCTGCGCTAAACACCTCCGCAGCCTGCGTGAAGCCAGGCTTCAGCTACTCCGTGACGGTGAGGTCTCGGCATGGGCGCGCAAAATGCGCCCCGCCCCAACTGCATCGTCCAAATACTCCCCTGACTGGGTCACTACACCCGACAAGGGAAAGGTGCGTCCCTCGACGACTGCGCAAGTGCTTTTGGGGGCACAGCAGGATTGGAACCGTTTGCTTCAAGAACCTCCTAGCTCTTGGGCCCACCCTGCGGTGCTGCCCTTCCGTTCCGCCCACCATTGCCTTTCTAAGCCCCGAGGTTCCCTTAATCTAGCGGTTCTAGTCCACGCTGCAACCCGCCCCGATTCCGCTCACCTGGCCAAAGCCTTCCTCACACCTGGCCCATGGATCCTATCCCCACTGCCACTGCACGCCGTGGTCCCGTTATCCGACCAGCGCGTCAGGGCTGGGCCATGGGTGCTCACTGTGGAACGGGGTTGCTGGTATGCCACCCGCCCAGCCCCCTGCCCAGGCCCGCGCCTCAAGGTTATTGCGCTGGGGGACACGCCGTTCATGCACCTCACCATGGACCACTTCATGCATAACTCCCACCCGGGCACCTTGATCTTGCGCGTGCAAGAGAAGCCTGACTACACCTTGGTCCGACCTGTCTCGTCAGAAGAACAGCGGTTCCTTCTCGCAACATTTCGCCCTTCTCGTCCGGGCCCGAGCGGCTGGAAAGTGTGCTACATCGAGGCCTTCCCGCCTGATGTCCAGCAGCTCTATTGGCACTGCCTTGACATGCTGCGTATGCTTGGCACGGTGCCATCATCCCTGCAGCACGCAACCCAGATCCTTGGCGCCCCCTTTCTATGCTTGAAGAGTCCTTCAAAGCCGTAGAAGCTGTGGTCGCGTCAAGGCTTGCTGAGCTGAGGGACCCATGGCACTCGGATGCCCCTTTTAGTCGCTTCAACCGGGCCTACTCCAAAGGCGTCGCCGCAGCCCCGGAAGTCCTCTATCTGGACTGCCTTGTTTGTGAAGATGCACAGCGGTCTGGGCGTCCACTCCTGCGCGTGCCAGCTGATTATGAAAAATTTTTCAACGTTCTCCAGCTGGCGGAGGTCGATGCCCTGCAACAAGGCCGAGGCATTCCCGATTCCGTCCGTCGCCTGCATCACGCCTTGTTCTCCAACATGAACGTCCAGCTTAGCACCAGATCCGGCCTGACGCCTCCTCTGCCTGTTGCACGTGGCGTGCCTCAAGGAGCTGTCTCCTCACCGGAAGTGTCTCGCGCTGCCCAAGACCCCCTGTTGCGCCTCCGGGCCGGTGATGGTGCCGCCTACCTCACCAGCGCAGGTCGCCGGGTCGTGGCCGCGGGCTACGTAGACGACATCGAACACTACGGCAGCGGCCTGGCAGATCTCCCTGTCATTCTGCGGAGCCTCGAAACCGGCAGCCAGGCTTCCGGTATAGGGTTCGCCTGGTCCAAGTTCTCCGCCTATGCTTCGGACTGGGACCAGCACCTCCCCCTCCTGCCTCCGAATTCGGGGGTCTCTGCAGAAGGTGCTCAAGTCCGCAGCTGGGACATCTGGCTCGGTGGCATGCGCTCCTTCTTCTTACCCCGTTCTGCTGCAACGGACGTAGACAAACTGCTCGGCAAGCGCGGCACTCCCCTCGACCGCCACTCCCACGCACGAGAAGACCTCATCAGCAAACTCTCCTCTGTCAGATCCCGCCTATCTAGCAAGTGCTGCGCCTGGGATGAGGTAGCTGCAATGACCCAGTGGGTGCTAGGCGGAGTGCTCGGCTACGCCCCTCTCTTGGGCATCCCTCCCCCGGCGGACTTGCATCGCGAAGACGCCGCTCTCCACAGACTCTTGCATGCAGGACTTGGTGTGCGCAGCACCTCGGAGCGGGTGAGCCTGTCTGCTCCTCGCTCTGCCGGGGGCCTGGGCATCCCGTTACTCTCCGAGATGCTCGTAGCCGCCGTGGCTTCTGACCTGCTTCTGCTGCTCAACGGTACCTCCCAAGCAGCTGACCTGGCTCGTGATAGTCTCCGTGCAGCTTTGGACTCCCCGCCAGCCGAGCTACCACAGCACCGCGGTCTGGTTGTCACAGCCCTGCACTTCCTTGCCGGCTACGGCTTGTACCTCAGCGTGTCGACCGACCGCTTCATTAGCCGCCTACTGGACAACCTTAACCCTGCTCCCCCCCAGCCGCTACACGGCCCTTTCAACCCTAGCCGATTTGAATCTGCGGCGCGTTTTGCGCGATGTGGCATCTTCGCCAACTCTGTCAGAGCCGCCTGGAAACAACTGCTAGCCCAGTATATCCCGCCGTCTCGCTGGGGAGAGGCAGAGCTGTGGTCTAACCTCCTGCCCGAACACCTACCTCTCTCCAGTCAGGCCTGCGCCAGAGCTGCACGAGCGGCCCTGCAACAAGCGGATTCTGACTGGCAGCAAGAATGCCTCATCTTTCACGTCCCTGCAGCCCCTGCGCCAGCAGAGGACTGGAGGGATGTTGCCTGGGTAGACCCCTGGCTCCCTTCGGGGGACCCCCGTTCTGGCCACCTGCTCGCCCCCGTTTCCAACTTTACAGCTACCTCTGACTTTGCTCTGTTCGGAGACGGAGGCTTCTCCGCGGCGCTAGGCGCCACTTTCTGCAGCCAAGCGCGCGGTTTTGGCCAGACCGGTCGGTATTGGGAGGACTCATCGTGGGCTTCTCAACGCCTGCTAGGCCGCCTCCCCGCCAGGTATGGATGGGAGAATTGCACCGTGCATACGGCTGAACTCCACTCCTTATTGTGTGCTCTCCGGTTTCGGGTACCGGGGCGTTGGCACCTCCTAGTTTTTGATCGCAGCTCTCTTTTCCAAGTCATGCACTCTGCCTTGCGGGGCACCTTGAACCAACTGCTCCACTCCTCGTGCTGCACGCTTGTGCTCCTTTTGCGCCGCGTGCTGAAACAACTTGAACAGGCTTGGGACGGGACCTGCCCCCTGCCTGCTTGGAAGCTGCATCAACAACACTACCCGTCACACTGGCACACATTCGCACCGATTGGCGACAAACTCAAGTGCCACTCCCGCATAGCCTTCGAGGCCATCGGGCTGGTAGGCCTCGATATTAAAAGTCATCAAGCAGGCTCCCCTATCCCCTTTCCCAACCTTGTCCAGGGCAACGTCGTCCAAGACCAAGGCTGTGATGCAGCCCGCCTGTCCACGTCCCCTGTCGACGTCCGTTTGCCTTCAGGCGGGCCGTTTGCCTGGTTCTCTGATCAAGGCTATATGGTCACCAGCCCCATACGAGAGCACGTCCGGCACAAACTGCGCAGTTCTTGCCTCCACGACTGGTGCTCTCGTCCTGTGCAAGGCCTCCTGCCACGGTTGGCTCACGAGGTTCATCAGCCCACACTGGACCCCGCCCTTTACTCGCAGTGCCATTTTTCCGGCCGCTGGGAGCGATGGATGCTCCCTTCTGACCGCCTGCCGCTGGACCTATCTGCCACGGCCTACCGATGCCACCGTGCCATCGGCGGCAGTTGGACAGAGCGCCTCCACGCTCATGCAGATGTGGCCGCCCTTGCGGACACGTGGGCGACGCAAGCGGGCCTGCCCTCCCCGCGCACGTGTCCACTCTGCCAAGCTGGGCCTGGCACGCCTCGCCACGTCGTCATGTCGTGCAAGGCCCTAGCCCCGGTCGCAGACATGCTACGCGACGACATAGAGGCTGAACTTCAAACCCTCGCCACCGCCGAGTCACTCCGCCAAGCAGCCCAGGCCTGGCAACATCAGGCTCGCGCTGACGCCCTCCCGGCTCAATGCGCGGAACGAGACACTCTGCGCTGGCCCATCCTGTCCGCATGGCGGTGGCTTGTGATTCTCCCCGGGCGGGAGCCCCTCCTTTCTGTTGATGTAGATGGTAGCAGTGCGTCAGGCACTGGCCGCGAACGCGGCACAGATCTGGCTTATCGGGCGGTGCTGCCCATCAAACTCGGTAAGGCGCTGTGCACAGATGCCAGCATGGAGCAGACGAAGGCGCTGGAGCTTTTTGCCACCCTTCGCCAGCCCCTGGCCCTTCAGCAAGAACTACGCTCACTCTCCAAAGCACGGGCCCCACATGCTCCGGCCATCCACCTTACAAAGTGCCTTCTCCTTGGCATCAGGCGTTTACGACAGGCCTACCAAGCACGCTTGGATGCTTGGATACGAATCTGCCGCATCGCTATCCCTCCGGCCTTGGGGGACGATGCTCCAGCTGCTCTGCACCCGCCTCGGCAGGATGCGGCATCCTCACTCCGCACTTGGTTGGCCACCCCGCCCGGGCAGTCGCTGCTCACTGAGCTCCGTTGGGCCCTCCTGCGCCCGCCTGCTGCCTTGGCCAGACTCCGAGCTATGGGTCCGTGCGGCCGACTAGCTGATTCTGCCTTGCTGGCAGCGCTGGCTCAGCACGGGGCTGCAGTCTTCCAAGACGATGCTCCTGCCTGGGGCGACCCTAGGGCTCACAATTGCCCACATGGCATGACGCCGTCGCTGGCCTGGCCCAAACGTGCGTCTGCCCGCAGGCCAACATCCAACGCTTATTTTGTTGCTGGACTTGTGGCGGGGCTGCCTGGCCGCCTTCCGGCCGGAACCCCTCACCATGCCCTTTTTGCAAAGCTTGCGTTGGTGTTCCTTGTGCCTCGTGCAACCGCATTCTGCATACTCGCACGCAGTGCCGTTGGAACTGCGGCGCTCACCCCGCTTATTTCCGGCCTGACGCGGCCCCCCTCTGCCCGGACTGCTGGCTCATGTGGGCCCGCGACTTGCAAGCTTGCCCTTTGCGTCGTCGTCCCCCGCCCCTTGCGGGCGATCTCCTGCAGCACCTCCAGCATGTTGCCGACTGCTGCCAAGCCGGAGCTGGCTCCCAGGCAGCTCTCCCATCCGTGCTGCGGCTTAAGCATGTTCGGCGGTGGCTGCTGGCACGCATCCGCCAATGTAGTGGCGCGGATCTCGGCAGCTTGCAACAAGACCTGGCCGCCCGCTGCCCGGCTGACACGCCGGAAGACACCTTGCAACGCTTGCTCCTCTTAGCCTCGCAAGCACTCCGTGCGGAGGGCCTCGCCACCCTGCAGCGAGACTTCCTTGTGCCGCTCCCGGTGTAAAAAGAGTGGCCCTCGCCTCTGTTCTCTGCATGCTTTAGTGGCCTTCGGCCTCTCCCGCCTTTTTTTTTTTTTGTTTTTTGTTTGTTTTCGTTTTCCTCGCCCGCCTTCTCCGGTTCCCACTGTATGTCGCCCCTCCCCTCCTCTTCTGGCCCGAACCCCCCTTTTCGGGTCGAAAACCCAGTCTTGGGCCTCTTCTGGGCCAAACCCCCCTTTCCGGGCCGTAAACCCAGACTTGGGCCACTTCTGGCCCAAACCCCCCTTTCCGGGCCGAAACCCCCGTCTTGGGCCACTTCCGGCGGGTTTCATGTCCCCCCCTTTCTCTCGAGGCCAGTCCAGGCCTTCCACGTGCTGCAGTCCCCAGCTGTAGCAGATACGACCTTGGTATCCATCCCGAGTATAGACTCTAGACTATCCCCCTCTGGAACCTCCCGCGGAGGGGGCCGATGACGCCTACGGAGGCCCCCCGAGATGCTGGGCGGGGAAGAGTGGCGGAGGCCGCAGCTACTGCTGCAGGTCGAACTCTACCTACCTACCTACCGTATCTGCGAGGAACACTAGGGAAACGATTCTCCTAACACTATGCAACCTTTACACGCATTGCGCTGGCCTGAAGATACGATTTGAATTCTGAAGCTGGTCTCCGAGCTCCTGCGAAGCGCTAAGCTTTCTCTCTTGCCCATCCTAGAACCTAACCCCTTCCTTTCTTAGGCCCTACGTGTATTGTTTAGCTTAGAGTTTTAGGTTTTATCGTTTAAGGATAGTGTTTAGGTAGACTCGATCAGTTGGCAGGAGCTCGATACACCACATGCACAAGCCAGCCCTGTCGCATTGCGACGCCAGCCCCAGCCGGGCCCCACATCAACAGGCTTCTCCTCGTCTTCTCGACAGGATGTGTAGTGTCAGATCCGCTGTTTCAGCAGGCATCTCTTCGATGCTCGCTGCAACAGGCTGCTGCCCTTGACAGAAATCCAAGGATTTTGATCCCAATGCATCCAGCCCAAGTTTCGGCTGGTGATGAATAAAACTGATCTGCTGTACGTCTGGAACCGATGGCCGCCTTGCATGCAGGGCGCTAAACGGCTAAGCTTTGAAAAAGGGCCCCGCTGTGGCAGGTTCCTTCGTATTACGGAGGTTTCTGGCAGCTTCGGGGTCTGCGCAGACTTAGATGCGAATCTTTTGGTTGCTGTAAGGACAGATAAGAAGTCAGGATGGCAGCCGATTGTAATCCCAACTCAACTCTGCGCAACAGAACCTTCTGCAACCATCTTCGCACGCACACGGTGGAGCTGTCCACTGACGAATCGGCACAGAGTGGTAAAGATTGCCAGGCCTCCGAACCTAGTACCCGAAGGTTCCTGCAGCGTGCAGGCCCTACATGAGTCAATCATCTAGCTCACGGTTGCCTGACTTTGAACCTTGAAGTAATCCACATATACGTATAATATAAATATAAAGTAACACACACATGATACGTATATGTATGTATGTGTATGTATGTATGTATGTATATATATATATATATATATATATATATATTAGATGTTAGCCCCTTTCCTCAGAGAGGCCGTGAAGTCCCCGAACACCCAGGCCTCCTTTCTTGGCGACCTCGGAGTGGGCGCAAAGGGGGCTGTTCCCTTGTATAGGGTTTACGAGGGTTGAGGCTTTAGGATATCCAAGAAGATACAGCACAACAGGGGTGCTGAAAATATACCAGGGTACCTGAATACTTGTAAGTGTTTAAGCAAGGAGTCTTGCTTTAAATAGCATCAAGATTGACCATCTGCGCGGGCTTGTAGCTCAAATTAGTGCATTCAGCTTCATGGGGATGTTAGCCTTCCGCCGTCCTGGCTTGCGACGTTGTTAGGGCAGTCTCTACTCTGCAGCTTCGCCCTGCACATGCTTGCATGTGTCAAAAATCGCAGAAAAACAAGTCCTCTAGAAACCCTTCAACTGGGAACCCTTCAGATGCACCCGAAATGTCGTTCAAACACCCGACTGTGCGCCTTAAGCCTGCGTAGAAGTTGTTAGACCTTGCACAGCCCATCCGGATTGTCCAGGTTGTGCAATTTCTGCGTGCATGACGCACCGAAGGTGGAATACCTCTTGCAAAACACTCGTCCTTGATGCGAAGGACGCCTATCTCTGAGGATCTTTGGAAAATCAACAACGCTCCAATCAACTCCTCCAATCGGCCCCCTTCCGGGTGCAAGGCGGCGCTGTCTTCAGCTTCTTGTGGAAGACAGGTAGTGTAAATGTTGCGCGCTGTTCCCGACCGACGCCTGTGCAACACTTCCATTTCTGGAGACAGTTCCCAAGAGTGACAGAGGCGATGACAAGAGCCTGCGTGTGTATGCTTAGACTTGATTCTCGACGTATCGTCTGTTGAAGGACCCACAGAGGTGTCTTGAAGTGCATGGATTGCCTGCTCGCATACAGTCGTCCAGTTCATTCGAAATGCAGAATGATGCCCACGCGACTCTGTGGGCATGCACCCGTCCGTCTTCGTGACACCTTTCGGAAGTACTGTATGCTAGCATACCTAGCATAGATCTCAAAAAGTGAGAGGGCATCGGGCTGTCAGCTTCCGGGAGCATCCCTGGCGCTCCCCCTGGCCTTTAAGCAACCCTACCCCCGAATGTAAGGGGTCTCACTAACTTGCAACAGTAACTAGTAACTAGCAATTATGTTCCTGGGGGTCAAGTCCGCAAACAATTCCTGCTGCTCCAGCCTTTCAAGGGCCCTCACAAATCCTCCTTGGCTTACGGCTACCCCAGCTCAAAAAAGAACCCTATACCCGAAACCCTAAACCCAAGAACCACTAACTTTTCTGCCTGGAACTTGGCGATCACGTCGTCGTCGGACTCGCTGAGGTCCGTGCTTGCTTCCGAAGTCGGCTGAGCCTGCTTCGGCTTGTCAGATTTTGCAGGGTAATCGGGATTGCTTCAGGGTGTTCCTTTTCTTGTGGCTTAAGGCTTAAGTTTGTAGTGCCTGAAGCATGGGGAAAAACAGAAATATTTATTTGTGAATGTGCTGCTGTAGGCGCAAAGGTTGATTAGGGCGTAGCGCTCTCATATCACGAACGATAAACTACATCGCAAATGCTTTGACTATTGCTTAGTTCCTGGCTTGGGCTTAAACGCTTAACTACGGTTTTTGGACTGCTAATAAAACCAGAGATTATGTTGAGAATCTCAGTCCTCTCAAGGATCCAACACTAAACTTTTGGCCAGCCACCTCCTTGGGTGCCGTGGTCGGCGGTGCTTGGCTGCGATTGGATGTGTGCGCTGCCTTCCGTGAAGGGCCGGATGCACGGGCGAAGCATGTGAATGCATGTAATTATGCACACGCGCACACACAGACAAACCCTTTCTCTCTGTCCCTCCCTCTCCATACTCATATGTATGCAACCTTGCATGCAAAATCATACATACTTTTACAACATACATGGCAGCACATTGCACTAAATTGCATTACACTACACGACACTACACGCATACATACATACATATATGCATGCATACACGCAGTTACATAATAATATACACATGATCATACACGTGCGTACATACGTGCATAAGTAATCCTGTCTGCATTAATTTGTTAATTTCGGTTCTTCCGTACCATTTGTTCCCTTCATTTGTTCACTCAGCCCTTCATCCATCCAGCCAGTCATCCTTGCATCAGGTCAACCATTCACACATTCGTTCATCCATCCACGCATTCATTCATTCCATCCTTTCATCCCCGAATTCATTTCATACTTTCATTCCTTCATTCCTTCATTCCTTCATTCTTTCATTTCATTTCGTTTCATTTCTTTCATTCATTCATTCATTTCACTCATTCATTCATTCATTCACTCATTCATTCACTCATTCATTCAATCATTCATTCATTCCATCCATCCATTCCATTCATTCATTCATTCATTCCATTCCATTCCATTCCATTCCATTTCATTTCATTTCATTTATTCATTCATTCATTCATTCATTTCATTCCATTCATTCCATTCATTCCATTCATTCCATTCATCCATTCATCCATTCATCCATTCATCCATTCATCCATTCTTTCATTCATTTCATTCATTCATTCATTCCATTCATTCCATTCATTCATTCATTCCATTCATTCCAATTCATTCCATTCATTCCATTCATACATTCATTCATTCATTCATTCATTCCATTCATTCCGTTCATTCCGTTCATTCCGTTCATTCCATTCATTCCATTCATTCCATTCATTCATTCATTCATTATTTCATTCATTCGATCATTCATTCGTTCATTCATTTCATTCATTCATTCATTCATTCATTCATTCATTCATTCATTCATTTCTTTCATTCATTCATTCATTCATTCATGTCATTCCATTCATTCATTCATTCATTCCATTTCATTCCATTCCATTCCATTTCATTTCATTTCTTTCATTCATTCATTTCATTTCATTCATTCACTTCATTTCATTCATTCATTTCTTTTCATTTCTTTCATTCTTTCATTCATTCATTCATTCATTTCATTCATTCATTCTTTCATTCATTATTCATTTCATTCATTCATTCATTTCATTCATTCATTCATTTCATTCATTCATTCATTCCATTCATTCCATTCATTCATTCATTCCATTCATTCATTCCATTCATTCCATTCATACATTCATTTCATTCATTTCATTCATTCATTTCTTTCATTCATTCATTCATTCATTTCTTTCATTCATTTCATTCATTTCATTCATTCATTCATTCATTCATTCCATTCATTCATTCCATTCATTCATCCATTCATTCATCCATTCATTCATTCATTCATTATTTCATTTTCATTCATTATTTCATTCATTTCATTCATTTGATTCATTCATTCATTCATTTCATTCATTCATTCCATTCCATTCCATTCCATTCCATTCCATTCCATTTCTTTCATTCATTCATTCCATTCATTCATTCCTTCATTCATTCATTTCGTTCATTCGTTCGTTCGTTCGTTCATTCATTCATTCATTCCATTTCATTCATTCATTCATTCTTTCACTTCATTTCACTTCATTTCATTTCATTCATTCATTCATTCCATTCATTCATCCAGTCCATTCATTCATTCCATTCATTCATTCCATTCATTCATTCATTCATTCATTTCATTCATTCATTCATTTCATTTCATTCATTCATTCATTCCATTCATTTCCTTCATTTCCTTCATTTCATTCATTTCATTCATTTCTTTCATTTCTTTCATTTCATTCATTTCATTCATTTCATTCATTTCATTATTTCATTCATTCATTCATTTCATTTCATTCATTCATTCATTCATTCATTCATTTCATTCATTTCATTCATTCATTCATTCATTGCGTACCCAAAGGATGAGATTTATGTGTTCGTGTACACACTATGTCACGAAGTATTGCGAATGTTCTCACAGATAGAGAGAGAGAGAGAGAGAGAGAGAGAGAGAGAGAGAGAGAGGGATAGATGGAGAGATGCAAGTTTTAGCCCTACTTCGGGCCAGTGGCCGTGGAACGAACAGGTTGGAGACAGAGACAGAAATGTAGAGAGAGAGTGAGAGAGTGAGAGAGAGAGAGAGAGAGAGAGAACGAGGTGCGACGTGCTTCGGCAATGCAGCATGATAAAACAGCCGACACCAACAATCCCCAAACGCCTCTCACAACGCTTAGTGTCAAACCCATGGCGCACCTCATCAAAGTTCCAAGTATCAGCAAAGATTCCTCCGCCTCTGGCTTGCCTTGGTGAATGAGGGTTCAGGGTTTAAGGCCTTAGGGTGTGACTTTGTCCTCATATGGATTTGGTTGGAGTCTGCTATTGTGTGCATGAAAGGAGGTAGAGGGCAGCGTGGGGAGGCATTACAGTGTTAGGGTCTTCCGCTTTGGAAAGAGCGTAAGTACCTCAGGTCAGGGTGCTGATGCACTGCTTCTGCAGCATCTTGCTTCGGATGGGGATAGAGGTGCAAAGGCTTCAAGCCTCCGTCCTGCGAAGTCCTGCGTCTAAGCACCGTTCAGGTTTGAAGGCCTCTCCCAAGTTGACCCGACATGTGGACACGAACAGGCTCTGGCAGAAGCGTGTGAATGGAACTAGCTTTAGCAACATATTTACTTGTGGATGAGAGAGGTGTGCAGATTACAGCAACCTTGTTCTGGAGTACCACATGTCGCAGACAGTAAAAACCAAAGATGCCCAGCAAGCAGTGCGCGTACACTTAGATCAGCAAGTATTTGTGTGTACCACTACGATTGCGGACCAGCATACGGTCATATGTGCATACAGGGTACTTACATACCGACCTACAGACATAAGCATGCACGCATGCGTCCATTTGCAAACATACATTCCTTGCTTACCCACCCGCATACCCACATCGATGTCACTTCCTGCACGATCACCTACCTAGATTTTCGTATGCTCGTGCTACTTTTTGACAACTCTGCACGCCATTGTGCGTGTGCACGGCATGACACAGTTTCTATACGAAGTGATAACAATTCACACAGAATGCATTTTTGCGTGTCCCTGCAGGCGCACGCGAGCCTGCACCTGAACATGTACAGTGCATGCTGCGCACCAGAGACTTTTGCAACATCACAGACATGTTGGAGTCTAGAACAAGCCTCATACAAACATCGTACTGTTCCGAATTGTATGGTTCTGGATTTGAGCACTATTGTCAGCATGGGCACTCCTTTCGCCAGTCAACCTCTGCTTGATCGAAGTTGTACTCATCTGAGGCCTGAGACAGTAAGATGCAGAAAGCTCCGACAGGAGGGAGCTCTCTGTGGTTTAGACTTTTGGGGACGTTTTTTGGGGAAAGGTTTATTGTGAGGTTCGTTTCTTCGGATGTGTAAGTTCGAGGAACTGCTCCAACACCAATGACCGGTAGCCAAGCCACAATACCATCGCCGTTCCTTGGCACCAGCATCGAACACGATCTGGCATGAATGCTTACACATTCCAAACCCAGCCAATTCTCTTAATGGCTCCCGGCCAAAAACTTCGTCGAGAGAAGGTGACAGCTATGCTTGAAGCGCAAACACAAAGAGACTGAGGTTCAGCATCCTGCCGCATCTGGCAGCCAGAGCATGAAGCCCAAGACTCTGAGTTGCTGGGAAGCAAGCTGGCATTGACAATTCGCCATACACCTCAGCTGCTTCTTCGCTTGTTCTGGAGACCCAGCCCACAGGTAAACCGATTCGGCGTGCAGGCTGCATACCAAAGTATCCGAAACGGAAATGTGGTCCCCGTTGACGACAAGAGCTTCGAATGCATTCAAGACGCCAGCGTCGCGCGACATCCCCAACAACAGCCTGTCAAGTCCGGTTCCGGTTCCGGGTTGAAGCGTAGTGTTCCAACGACTTTTTCTACGTCCTGCGGGTGCCTTTCTTTAGGCCCCATTTCGCCGGGTTCCTGCGGGAGGAAACTTCTTCTGCATGTATGGGTCTCAGTGCTCAAGACCCGAAATAAACGCAGAGCGGCAATCATGAAGACAAGGCAAAATTCTAACAAGCAAGCATGTTGACTGCATGACGGTTTTTTGTTTTTTATTTAGACAGCCCCGGGCAAAAGTCAACTTCGAGTCACTCCTGGAATCACGAGCCCCAACGCTAAGGTTCCAGCGGTTTCCGGGCATCTGGGCCCGCGAACTTGAAAACTTGAAGCCGGAAGCCCCAAAAGCACTAAATTCCAATGCCAAGCCCACCGTCCACTAGTTGATGCACCTGCGAAGTGGTTCAGACATCGGTAAACTCCAGATTCGGAGAGCACGTTCAGCATGCAATGGCCTCAGCAAGGAGTTCCCAAACCGTGAGCCCTAAGCAACGCACTACGCCTGTTTAATGCTCTAACGTAGGGGCTCGAACGATCCGAACATGGTATTCACAGAGGAGCAACACGGCTTTAGAGGAAGTCTCTTCGTTTGGGGCCCTCGGTACGGCAGAAAGATGCAGAAAGTGTTCCGGGGCTTTCAGGTTCAAGCCCTCATGTAACTGCTGCAAGCCTCAGTTTACGTCCGAGTCCCCCGGTCCGGAACATAGAACTGAAATTGAGCGTTCCCTCAAACCCCAAATCCCATACCACAGCCGCACTAAGCCCTGCATACGGCAGCCCCAAAGCCCTCCACGCCCCGTGAACCCTACGTGTATGCCCTGACAACCCGAAGATGTCCCGTGGATGCACCAGTTTTCAGAGCAAACGGGCCCGGCACGTAGGTCGGTCTCTCGGAGGTGAAACACTAATGGGATCCTACATTCTGGGACTTTACGGGTTCAGGATTCGATCAGGAATGTTTAGGACAAGAGGGTTCAGGGTGGCTCTTCGGGGGATTCGGGAAACTTGCTGCACTTTTCACGGGTTCCGGGAGGTTTGGGCTCGGGGTCGAGGTTCAAGAGATTGGCCTCGAAGATTGGCTACGCGCCTTTTCGGCTCCTTGTTCTCACGTCTGGACCGCCTCGCGGTGTGCCGGATGAGATGCGCTGGGGGAGCTCTGGCTCGTCGCGTGCTTCGGCTTCTGCCCCACTCCCTGCCGCGATGTCAGATCTCCGTCGCCCTACGTTGATCTCCAGGCTTCCCAGGCAGACAGGGAGAACGTGCCCTCGTCGTCCCCCACGCCCGGGCCGGCAACTGACAGGAGCTTACCCCTAGCACTTAGCACATGTGACTGCGATGAACCAAAAGCCTTCACAAGGTACTGTGCGCTACGGAAATAGAATTATGAAAAAGGAATAAGACATAAGGCTTAGTCGATAGCACTTTATCCACTCTGATGCCATTTGATGCCAGGCCTTTGTCGAAAAGATCTTTGCGTTCATCCAGAAACTTCACCGATCTCAGAAGCTCTTCGACCACTTCTTCCATCGCAGAGGCGCTCAACCTGGCTGACCTTGAACATCGATTTTGCAGCGTTTCAATAGAACTATACATGTACTTCGGACACCTGCGGAAAAAATACAAGCAAGCGCATAAGTAAGTAGGCAGGTATGGATGTACGTATGCATGATTGTATATGTATGTATGAACAAACAAGTTACCAACACAGCTAATAATGCTCAAGACGTTGTTGCACGACCGGCGCCAGAAGCCCGGGCACTTAGTTCAAAAGAACATGGTAATTAACGGAAGCAAAGTGTACACATGTACTTACTGTTATCCCCATGAGTGCCCTTTTTCGCATAAACCCTATTCCCTGAACCCCAAGCCCTAACTCACAGGGAACCAGGACTTCTTGAACCCGAGCCCGTCCCACCTAGACAGGTCCATGGTCTTGAACGCATCTGCCAGCACGAACCTGGTTGCAGCCCTAAGGGCTACTTGAAGTTAGCTATACTCAGATATTAAGTTGAAGGTTTCGACTCTTACGGGACCTCTAGGAGAACAGCAGGGAAACAAAAAAACTATCCCAAGCTGCCGAACAGGAGCAAGAAAATCCAGGAGTTCGACGGCGGCTGGAAGCGCTTCGACTTCCAGGACGAGCGGACGGCCACGGCCAGCTCGTCGATGTCTAAGTTTCCATCCTGGCTCTCCCGACCAGTGTGGGGAACGGACTAAGTCTGGGACTGTTTTAGAGCCCTTCTCGGCACGGACTGGGGTGCCGGCCAGTGCCTATGCATGCCTATGCATCTCACAATCCCGGCAAGAGCTCGCAGGAAAAGCTGTGGATGACGACTGACTGAAGCTTAGGCTTCAAGCCCTAAACCCCAGAAGATGCCGGGAATATGGGACCCAGTGAAGAGCTCGGGAAGTGGGGAGTGCTGTAGTTTGAGCCTGAAGCCTACACCGAGTGAAGTTCCCCGATTCATGCCGACACTGCTTAATATCCCACATGCAGAACAATAACACGCACCTCCAAACAGCCGTATTCCCGGAGTCCCAACACCCGTAAGTGGTCGGCCCTGAACACCTAAATTTTGATGACTTCGTAGAGCTTGAAAGAAGCAGCAGTGATACGTCTTATCAAAATATCAAAACATCAAGAGGCCCATGGCAACGACCATGCTGACACTGAATAGTCCGTAGCTTTCATTGCTCGGATGGACTAGCAGCAGGGGAAGAGGACCAGGGGCAGCAGCAAGGGCAACGGTGGCAAAGGCATGCGTTGTAGTCGTCGTCCCAGTGGTGTGCTGGTGGCTCTAACAACACTACTGTCCCGGATTCTGTTCGCAAGACTGTCACCGTTTGCACAACTCGGGGTGCCGTCCTGGTTGGCGTCCAGCCGCGTCCATGCTGCTTTCGCCGCCTCGCGGACAGCTGCCTCCGCTGCTTGGACGAATGCTGCTTCCGTCACCTCCAGGCTTCGACTGAGGATTCAGAACACTTTTAGCCACTCAGCATGTTTGGTTTGTGGCTTGGAGAGATGGGTGCGGGCTTCAAGCTATGTGTAGCTTGTCAGAAAGGTGTGAGACAGCTCCGGAAGAACACATGTATGATTTGCCCCAATTTCGCAATTGCCGCAGTGACGTCACAAGACTCCCTGAGCTTGCCTCGCCCAAATCGCTGAAGATGTCCACCCGAGGTCGCAGGAGGCTCGCCAAGCCGCAGCCTGGAGGCTCTGGAACCGCCGGTACCTTCACATAGGTCTCCTTCGGCTGCCGGGGCTTTCCGGCCACACTCCATGCGCAGGTCAACACGACCAGGCTCCGGAGCATTGCGGAAGGATGCAATGCTCGGGAGCCCGAATTCGGGGCTTTTAGGGTTCGGGGCTCTCCTGGAATCGTGAAGACTCCGAGCTTCTGGGACTTTCCTGTGACTGTGACATGGCGCTTAAACATGTGCAGCTACATGAGAATCCTGACCGTTGTCCAGCTGCGGAAACATGTGACATCGCAAGCATACACGACATGGAATATTGAATATTTCATGCTGCTTTGCAAAAGTCTTCGGCCCAGTGTAGGGCGCTCTTGTCAGATCCGCGCTTTCCATGATCTACTTAGAACAATCGCCACTTGCAACACTGGGCCAGCTACTTGTAGGGGAAGCTGGGTCCCCGACCACGCAGGCTAACCTTCTCATCGTGAACTGTGAACCTGGGTTAGCCATCTAAGGAGCGGGAGATGTTTTTTGCAACCAGGATTCCAACTCCACGATCCATTTCACCTTCTGGAGCCTTTGGCACAAACCCTTCGAAAGAAATGAAGCCTCAAGTGCTCAGTCCTCAGCTCTCCTTCACCCGAAAGCCCTAAGCCTAAAGTGCCCTAAACCTCACCTTGAAACCTTCCAATACGCCTCAACCATCCTTTCGCATGACGTACTTTCGACGCAAGGACTCCATTTGAACATGAGAATCCCCTGCGCTCATATAGTTACTATATATTCCCGGGTAGCAGCAGCTGAACCACAAGACCACGCAACCCCAATAGTAACCCCCCCTCCATCCACCCTAATCTGCCCACAGGCCCCATAGTAGTTCTTTCTTGGGGTGCATATTTAGAACCCCTAAGGTAATCCCCAAAACCCTAAACCCTAAACCCTACGGGAGGACACCACCCTAACCCCAAACCCTAAACCGTAAGTGCTCTCTTCTGCGAGATGCTTCGCGACATCCTCCGAGAGGCCGGCCTGACAGTCAGCTTGCAGATCTAATATAAGGGTCTTCATAATTAGAATAACGTTTATAAGGGATACTATAAGGGATCTAAAAGGGTACTATAATATAGGGGCCTTAATAATTAGAATAGGGTTTTGGGGCCCACTATACTATAAGGAACCCAAGTACAGCCTGTGGAGTTTATGAGCTTTTCTTGGGCCTCCTTGAGTCAAAAAGTGCTCCCTATGTCCCTCGCTCTCCCTCTCTGTGTCTGCGTGTCTCTCACGTGTCTCGCTTGTCTGTCCATGCCATGCCTCTCTCTGGCTTCGCCCCTCTCGCTTTGTTCATCTGCGTGCGTGTATGCATGCATGGTCGTGTACATCTCTTATTGTTACACGTGTACACATGCATACATATATATATATATGTATATAGGTATATATATATATATATATGTACATAGAAGCGCATGTGCTTGTTTGCTTGGTGCCTGGCTCTCGTCTCCGAGCAACCCCTGCACCCCAATCCCCTGAGCCTGCTCGAGGATGGCCTCCACCTCAGTATCTGACGGGCTGCACCACTAGTGACGAGCCTATCGCCACTTTAAGCAGCTCGCTCTGTGTGGAAATGCTACGGCAACTTGCCGGGTGGTGAGCCTCGTGGAAGAGACTGTCTAGACAGGCGGCCAGTAAGTCCACCGAACCCACCCCAGGCCCTGCAGGCCTGAACCCATATAATAAGATGTATTATAAGCCTATTTTTGTCCTCAACCCAATGAAGACCACGTGTATCATCCTCCAGGCCACACAGCTGTCGTTGAGCAGCTCGCGCGGAACCCCTGGCTGGCTTTGCAGGTTCGGGCTCGAGAGAGAAAATTATTGAAGGTTTTGGGGCACCTGCGGATACAACATCATATAATAAACAATGACATACTATGTGGACTTTAGATCAAGGATTGAAGGCTTCAGTCTGAAACAAAGTCTAATATGCCCTCAGGTCGAGAAAGTCAAGCTGCGTTGCCGGATGGTTCCAACGACATTGAAATCTAAATTCAGCAGCTGCTAGGACTTCCAGAGTTGCAGTTTTAGATGCCAAACTGGGAGACCTCGGGCTTCCTGTTTGTGTTGCTCTTGTCATGACTGTTTGTTGCGGTCTGCCTGCATCATGCCTAATCGGCGAATACTGTAAACGTTTCTTGCTTGCGGGCGTTTGTAACATAGGGCTTGAAGCAGACGACTGGGACAGGCTTCAAATCTGCGGCCCAGATCTGCCACCACTCGTCATGGAGTTCCCAATCCCACAGGCTCCCCCTCCCCTCTCCTTGCAACAGGATGAGGAAGGTCCCTGGCATGATCATCCCCATCCTGGGCGCAAGCTTGTCTTTGTGACGTCATTGTTGGCCCTACTTGGATTGTCGGGGGACTTAGTAAGTAGGTAGCAAGTAGACTTATAAGTACCCTAAAAGGGACCCTAATTGGGGTTATGGTACTTAAAAGTCCCTAAAATAACCAGTTACTAAGTCCCCCGGCCCTCCAAGTAATGCCCGAATGCCCGGCACAGCCGGACAGAAACACTGCCCAGTTCGCAGCTACTCCCCCAAGCCAAAGCCGATAGCCCAAACACCACCGACTAAGAAACCGATAATTTTACCACAGCCCCTTCCTTGCAAGGCTGACAGCAACAGCCTCGATCCAATCTTTGGAACCTCTGCCACAGGCTCTACAAATCACTGACTCATCTAGCATGGTGTGCCCTTGGACACACTACTGCTTCATCACCCCTGGGAGGAACACCTCGTGCCAAGTGTTTACGTCGCATGCGCCAGGCCCTCGTATGACAAACTCAACTACACCCTGGGTAGTCACACAGGCATACAGGGCGTGCCATCCTCATTGGAGGGTCTCCTCGGCACGACTTCTGTTCTGCTACACCTGCCGAGCAAGCTGTCGCACGTATACATATATATATATATACATATGTATATATATATATATATATGTATATATGTAGGGTTTAGGTTGACATGCTTCGGGCGGCCCCACAATCCCGGATTGATTTGCCTTGTTACATGCTCTTTTCTTTGCAAACTTGCTGGAAAACGCACGTGTGCTGTAGATGACTGATCCACACATCTACGACACTGCTGATGTCTGTCCCACAGGCTTGATTCATTGACTGATGAGAACGGCAGTGCTGCGCACGGAATCCTCACCGGTTGAGTTTGTAAACTGATCGTATGCTCTCCAAAGGCTTCAACATCCTTGTATTGACAACATTAGGCGTTCGTGAAATCTATTTTGCCGGGAGCTTCCGTATGTAGCCGCTTAAAACCTGGGTCCCCAAACTGGTCTTCTGTGCCCGAGGAGCTGAGCTACGCCTTCTTCCGCGATGCTCATGATGGCACGATCTTCCTGGGCCATACGAAGTCGGCCTTCCCTTAACTCCCGAAAACTTCCCAGTGTCGGGTGGTTTAGGGTTTAGAGTTTAACCCTAAACCCTAAACTTTAGGGTTTAGGGTCGGATTTCGAAGACGGGAGCTAAATACTTCGCATCAGGTTCTTGTGTGGTGCATGGATACTCTCCACTCGCACAGGCGAGATGTAGGAAGAAGATTGCCATTGTGCCTGCCTATGTATTCTATTGTGCATCGGAAGCTGGGCCCACATCTGTAGGTGGCGGAGTGGGGGCAGGAGCATCTCGCAGTTTCAGCTCTGCAGTAGCAGCTGAGTAGCGTCTTTTCGTCAAGTCCTGTGAACCCAAGTTCCTGAAACAGGAATACTTCAGAACCACCGTAAGGACGACAAAGAACAGCCAGGCACCCGAGCCCTGAAGCGTGACCTGATGCCGCAGCCTGGTACAGAATTTATTCTAGACTACTGGCGCGACATGGTGAAGTGAGCCCCCGGCAATCAAAGCCACAAAAAGCGTGCAGCGACAACAGCGCACTGATCTTGCAAGTTTCTGGCCACTGCTGCCACCAGTTTGCAGCAGCATTGGACATCTCCTTGACTTCGCATTGGGCTTGATGTGTGGGCTGCTTTGTGACTGGACTGCACGCTGGGTGCGAGCAGGGCCAGTAAGGCTCGTGATGTGGGGGCCGGCAGTTGTATGCGTGCCGAGAACAAACGGACATTGTCCACGCGTGCATAGGCGCAAAGGCACCTGAGGAAACATATGCAAAGATGTTCTTAGACACAAGTAATACGTACATACACTTACATACATACATACATACATACACATGTACATAGCCGTGTATGTGCATACGTACGGGTGTACGACGCTCATACATGCATAGATGCCTATGTATGTACATGCGTGCATACGCATGTGCACACATGCATGCATACCTACGTACATATGTAGATATACATATGTATTGATACGCCTGCATTTACCTGTTCCCATACATACACACATACGTTACATACCTATGTCCGTACATGTAGACATGTAGGCATTCAGACACGACTTGGCAAAACACAAGCACATCTTTTTATGCGCACATGTTAAAACTTTCGATATCATCTGTTGTCTTGGCCCTTTCAGAGACATCAATGTTCTGCAATGCTACTGACTGATGTGAAGGTAGAACTCCGGACAGGCAAATCAACTTGAGGGTGCCACACTCACTACACATTCTAACTGACGAGCAGCGGGTGCAGTGCTGAATCCATAATTCTGTTGTCCAAAATCAAGCCACGCATGTTTTTCAGCAACCAGAAGCCTGACCGAAAAGGCCAGTCCAGAAGTTGCACTGACGAATCCTTCCTACCCAGAGCTCCCCAGAGGACACTCCTTCTCGATGCTACACCCCACAGAATGGGAGCCATTGAGGTCTGCGGCCCCTGTTCCGGCAAGTCACCGGCATCTGCATGCCACGCATTTGCGGCGGCATTTGCGGCGCATGAAGCGCTTCAGCCTGGTGCCGGCTCTGGCTTCGGATGTCAGCTTGCGGCAGATGATCTGACCCCACCTGTCGGTGCGGATGCCATTCATTCCGCAACTTCTCCGTCGTCTCCGGAGCAATTAGCTGACGATGCTCCGCAGCATCGCGGACATCAAAAAACCTCAGTGGTCGCCATGGCTCGGCTCAGGATTTGTGCTTTCGGACTTGGGGCCTTTTGCATGCCGTGGACCCGTGATCCGCCGCTACAGTATCGTGTGGAATGTTTCAGAAATCCAAAGAGAGAGAATCGAACAACGAAGTGAGGTGCTCTTGAGAGGTACGGCCGTCCAGCCCGAAACGCAGCATCACCTTTGCGGGCCGAGCAGCTCGAGGATGTAGTAATTGTCGTCCGTTTCGTCGACGAACATGTCGCGGATTTGGCTGACTACAGCCCTATCAAGGCCTGCTGTTCCTGCAGGGGCTCTCTTCTTCAGCAACCGGGCCCCAAAAAAACAAAAACAAGCTAAGATAGAGCTAATTTATAAATTTTATAAGGCCGCAAAGTTTAAAGTTCTCCCATTCGCTATCTAGGGGAAGCTCGAAAGGCTGTCTGGACTTCCTGAACTCCGGACACCTAGCCCCTTCGAAGGCCTGGAAGCCGAACGATGCCTGGGCTCATGCTGTTTCTGTGCGGCTTTGGGCCGTCAGGGTCTGAGCCTTGAGAGTGTAGCATTTCCGAGTTACTTCCTGTCATCATCAACATCTTCGTCGGCATAATCATCGCCACTGAGATCGTCTCATCATGGCGGTCATCAAGGACTTTGTCGAGGTAGTAGAGCTGAGCTGGTCTTCTTCTTTCTCTGAGTAGTAGTAGTAGTAGTAGTAGTAGTAGTAGTAGTAGTAGTAGTAGTAGTAGTAGTAGTAGTAGTAGTACGAGGTGCAACTCGTAGTGGCAACACAATACGGACATAGTTCTACTCGTGATGTCGTGGGAAATCAACCCGTAGCACATATCCGACACTTCAACGGAAACTGTGCTGCGGCCAAGGTCACGGTTTCCGCATGGTTGGGCCCGCCAGCACCTATCCATGCGATGGATTCGAAGTTTGGGGTTCAGGCTTTGCATGTGGATGAGGTGTACACGTTACACGTAAGTTTGGAGACTATCTTGACACAAACAAGGCCAGCGTCCTTCGCCGAGAAACCCTATGAGCTCCAACTTTCCTAAACCAGAGTCTTACGCATCCGGTCCCCCAAGCGAAGGGCCTTGAGCCGGATGGGACTCCTCCGAGGTCCCCAAGTGTTCCAACCCTCTGACACCTTGGGAAACCCTGTAAGGCCTAGCAGTCCCCTCTCGAGCAAGCCCGATGGCACCATGGATGGCCTGAGACCCCACCTTGTGCGATAAACCTCTCCAGACGCATAATTAATTAACTCGTCTTTAAACTCCAAGCCCCCGAACACCCCGGTTCGGCACCTGGTTTCCCCAAGCTCTTCCAACGCCCGCTCGGCAGCTCGAACGTCGTAGTATGCCTGAGCTATGACACGCTGCACCAACATTGTGCTACTTGTGTAGACAGAAAAGTCAGCAAAGGATAACCAACTCCACGCCCCAAAACCCTAAACCCCAGGTGTAGGCTTTGACGTAACGTAAACTCATCATTGGGGTCCCCAACCGGAAGCTCCAAACCTGAAACGTAGCCCTGAGCTTCGGAGATCCGAAGTTTAGGACTTATAGGGCTCAAACAGGGGACCATAATATAGTACCTCAAATAGTAGGATCATTATTATAAGGACCCCAAAATCGGTTTCTATTCCGGGGTTTACTTGGTACACTTCTCGATTTGTGCGTGTCATCCTTGCGCAGGGGCCATGCTAATCTTCTTTGTATCTTTCCAACTCCGAAGGGATCTGGGGTTTAGGGCTTTGGGCTCAAGGGTTTCTATGCTCGGACTTGCTTGGCTAAGCTTTTTGTTCCGTTGGCACAAATCAGGCTTGCGCGGATGTTAGGGTGTTTTGAACTTAGGGGTCACCCCGTTTGAAGGGTTTGTAGCGGTTTGTTTGTGCGGGGTTTTCTCAATCTTACCCAGAGTCCGTCCCTACGTGTATTCAAAGTCCAATGCTGACACGACTTGGGGCTTCTCTTACCTTTGGTTAGTAGGGAATGGAAGATTGGTAGTAGTAGTAGTAGTAGTAGTAGCAGTAGCAGTAGCAGTAGCAGTAGTTTTTGTCACCCACCTGGCACACCTGTGGCAGCTCTGCGGGGACTTAAAGTCAACAAGTCACGACGGGATCAACCACTGAAAAACAACCCAACACCGAAGTTAAGGCCACACAGGACAAGCCGACCCCGTCGATCCGGAACATCCTACCACTAGAAACTCAGATCAAGGCCATTGCACTACTAATTGTACAGTACAAGGTGTTTACAGTACAACATGCATTCAACACATCACGTGCTGTTAAATTGACTCGTCCCCAATTCTCCTGCGCAGTTCACATGCAAAGTACAAATTACAAGTATTGAATTCAACCACGTTCACACTATGCACAGACTCTTCCCAGAGGGGTCAGGTGCTGAGGCAATGCAGTCACCGGGTGAACAGTCCTGCATTAGCCTCGCAACCTTACAGGCGTAGCTCAGGCAGTGGTTTGGTTGTGAGCCAGCACCACCAGACTCACGCAGATAAGCCAAGTCGTAGTTGGCAGCTGCAGTTGTCGCTCAGCCTCTTCACCGCCATTGCGTCCGAGTCTGCTATGGAATGTAGGTACGCGGTCCAAAGTGCCAAGCTGTTTGGTTTTTGCAGTGGTTGGACTCGTCCAGTAGTTTTCACCAGCATCGCCAGACTCGCGCAGAGGAGCCAATTTGTAATCAACAGCAGCAGTTGCCATTCAGCTTCTTCACCACGGTTGTAGCCAAAACTGAAAAGTCAGCTGTGTAGAATGGGGAATGTAGGTATGTGCACCTAAGCGTCCAGTCTCCAGCCTGTTCCATAGGGCGGTGTCCAGTCTGGTCGCTGTGTAAGTCACACAGAGACGGCGGCTGTAGGTAACTTGTCGCGCGCGATCACAGGCACGAGGAAGCAGTCAGTGGTTTCTCACATTGGTCACATGAGCCTACCACTAAGGTGGCGATGTCAGCTGTGTCAGCTGTGTCAGGTGCGGACTTCGGGATGAGCAACTGTTTGGAACGTCCCCAGTTGTAGTACGCGGCAGGAGGCTGACCAAGCGTGCCCACATGTGTCTCCGCCGATATTTGCACGACAGGCCAAATTTTGCAGTCAGCAACATCTACTTCAGTTATGGTCGCGCTCCATTGCAGAAGAGACTAACCCCTGCAGCAGTCATTCGACAGAGGGACACGAGGGGCCATGGCTGGGCCTACAGACGTGGCTACTTGGCTGTCAGGCTCCCCCGGTTCAAGATCAACCAAAAGTAAGGCCCTAAATAAAGTAACACACCTAAAGGTAGGGTCCGCAGCTTGGCTTCTTGGCTTCCCACGCGTAAGTGTGTTGCACACTTTTGGTGGGTGATTAGACAGACTGACGCCCAGACCAGAAGGAAAAAGAGGCAGGCAAGCATGCAGAACAGCAGTAGGGAGAGGCAAGGCAAGGGCATGCAGGCAAGGATGGAAAAACAGCAGTGCAGTATGCAAGAAAGGTTTGAATTCGTTTTCTTAACTCAGCTTTTGGTTATCCCAGCACCCAGGATCGCCACCCACGAAGACCACGAAAGCACCCGGTAGATCATTTCAAGGTTCCCTCAGCATCACATCGCAACATCTGTACGGAGACCACGAACGTCGGCAATTGCATCGACACCATCAGAGGCATGCACTCCTACAGGGCCCAGCTCCACACGAACTTGTGACTCGCTGTCCTCACTGTCCTCGTCAGAGTCGGAGTCTAGGATGATGACGAGCGAAGTTTGGTGGGAGCATGAGGGTTGTATGGTTTTGAAATAACTGTGCAGAGATTTTTGCAGGGTTGTCGGGGGCTGTTTGTGGCTTTGCGTTTCAGGAGGGGGAAAGCGAGGGAATCGAGGAAAGAAACCAAGTTGGAGAAGTTGGGAACACACCGTAGCTTCCGGGGCTTACGGCTAAGCTGGAAAGCGCTTATACTGATGCGCACACACGAGTGTGCCCCTTCAGCGGGTTGACAATTGGCCCCGCAATGGGGCTGTTTGGCATCGAAAGCCAGTGGTCCTTCTCTCAGGTTCACCTCAGTTCCTGGCCACAGCTGTTCCTCGAAGTCTTGAAAGGTTCGTCCCGAAGGGCAATGAAACCAGAACCCACAATCCCCCGTCCCAGAACCTGAAAGAACCACACTTCTGCCAGACGTCCCCAAGTCTCTGTGCACTTCAAGTTTCCCTCCCACACGAACAGCCACACAACAGAAATTAAGCGCAAGGAAGTGCAACCCCACGAAGGTACTCAGCAGGTTTGTTGTTAAAGGTAGGTCTTTAGTGGGCTTCGTAAGGGTGTTTGACCGGGGAGATAGACCAAAGACTATGCAACCAGACGGCCTAGGAGGAGAAGACCAGAGTTTTGTTGGGACAAGCGAGACGAGGGTGTGGAGGTCAAGTTGTGGCGGGGGCTTCGTACATTCATGGAGTTCACATAGCAACTTTGCCGCGCAGCCCTCAGCACCGTCTTTGTCTGACGGCATATGTGCTGCTGCCCTGCACTAGGTGTGTATCAACAAGGTATGTTGGGAACCGCGGGACACTGAGAGCCGACGAGCTGAGAGCGGCACGATCCTCAGGTGTAACACGCTTGCATAAGCTCTCCAGGTCGGCTCGTCACTAACTAGGGCGCAAGTCTTCTTTTAGCCATGGGCAAAGGGAGGCAGTCTTGACAGTCCAGCACAGTCCAGCAGTGAATTCCTAAGCAAGACGCATGCATGATCAAGGGCAGCGGGCAGGTGGCTTACGGCCCGCCTCATGAGATCTGCTTGAGTGTTGCTACTGGGCAAAACACGAGGCTGTAAAAAGCTCGGCTTTGGAAAGTAGAAGATAAAAACCAAACGGATAGAACAAAGTAAACAACCAAAAAGAACCATAACAAGCGACCGAATGTACCAGGGCGCGTCGACAGCCTCAAAACAAGTATGTGGCAAGTACAGTCCGCAATGAATTCCAGTCCCGCAATGGAGCATGCAACATGCAGACAGAGAATACCGATAAGGGCAAAAGACGTTGCATGCATGCACACTCCTAGGGACGTACAGGGTACTTGGGATCCAGGGCACTATTATTGCACAAAAGATGTGGTTTGATAAGGAAAAACAGGAACAGCTTACAGCCTAGGCTCAAAATGAAAAAGCATGCCCGACCCCTAGAGTCACTTGCTGATCAGCGGAAAAGCGGGATGTTCACCCTGCGCCCCTCACCCAAGTCAACGTAGACCGACGCTGAGCCTGACTGCGTGGGGGGCTGCGAGGGCTGCGAAGGCTGATGATGTGGCGGCGGCATCATCGGGATGGCCGTTTGCAGGTGAAGTTGTCGTCGATCTGTGTGATGAACCACCGACGGCGCCTCATACGAGGGTGGTGGCGGGGCCCCACTCAGTAGGGGCACGGGTGGCCTCTCACAGTACTCCTTCACCGTGGCGACTTGCTCTCCTGTGTTGGCCAAGGCAACCGCCACGTTGTAAAGGCCCTCCTTGAGGGAGCTGGTTTCCCCCTGCAGGAAGCCCACCGATGCAAGCAATTCTTGCCCGAGCTGGTCCAGCTGTTTGGTCAGGGACGTGAAGCTGTCATAGTCACATGTCGTGACTTTCTTGAGGACTTCCTTCACTCCATCCACCAGGTATTGCTGGTTCTTCTCAGTGGTTTGCTCCCACTGAGTGTGGTTGCTTTTCAGCATCCCGGCCATCGTTGCAAGGCATTTGCTCACTTCTTTCCAATGGCTGTCTGTCATCTGGCGGATGCTGTCAACGTTCGTCGACAGCGTGCTCAGCGACCCAGCCAGATTCTTGACCTGCGGCATGAGCACCCCAAGTATGCCCTCGATCCCCGTCACACGCTGTGACACCAGCTTCACATCTCCATTGACGGACGTGACATCATGTTTCACCTGCTTAAGGTGTGTGGAGATAGTGGCCAGTTCATCTAGCTGCTTGCCCATAGAGCTCTGGGCCGCAACAACGTCCTCCAGGCTCTTGTTGATGGTGGACTGCATGCTCATCTGCGAAGCACTCAAGTCCTCCACCTGTTTAGCCAGTCCACTCTGCATGGCTTCGACATCCTTGTGACAGAGTTGGACCGCCGCCAGGAGACCCTCCGACGAAAGCGGAGAGGGTTTAGGTTGCGAGGCCTGTGTCGAGGCGGTGGTCGTCGTCTGCTTCTGTGTGCCCGGGTCCTTCTGGTCCTTGCCCACCTTATCGAAGCCTGGACTTCGACCCGCTTCCATTCACAATGATGGGCGTGAGAAAGTCATCCTTTACCGGGCAATAAGTTCGTAGGTGGCGTGCGAAGCTGAATGCCCGTCGTAGGAAATTTGCGATGTTTGCTGCATCATTCGGTAAGTAGATGGGAATCCTCTCCCTCTCATCACCTTCAGGTACTGTAATAGCAGGTTGCAAACTTGAAGCTCGCCTGCTCGCTTGTGCAGCTATCCTTGCGTAGCCAACTGCCTCCTCTGGATCATAAGTCTCCAATGGATGCAATTGCGAAGCCAAGGCGACTTGAAAAGCAAAGAATTGCGGCTGAATGCGGTTCACCGCCGGAGCATTGTCAGCTATGGACAACATATTCGGAATGCCGACATAGTCCAGCTGACGGTCCTTTTTGTAAGACCAGAACTCTTCTCCAATGACCAGCTTGTCTGTTATCACCGGATCAAGTACCGATATCAGCCTTTGCGTTATGTATCCACGCATGCATCTCGGATCATACGCATAGCCGAAGAGCGTGCTATGGTGCTGGCCGTACAACCTGAATCGGCATTGAAGCACAGGGGCTCTCCGAACGCGGCTGGCATCTCGACGATGTTGCACTGCAAAGTTAGCTTCACTCAGACCCGGTGTCACAACGACATCTGAGTAGAACCATTCACAAGTTCGGCCATGATTCTTTCCGGCCACTTCTTGCTCGCAGTATTCCACTTGCGCGATGTCTGCCATCCATGTAGCAAGTCTTGCTTTCTCCATTCTACCTTGCGAGTTGACCACATGGTCACGCAATGCAACCAGCATATTGCGCAGTGCTTCTGAATCGCACTCATCTTCTCGCAAGAAAGTGCTCGTCTCGTGGAACACAAAGGCCTGGAATCTCACGTTGACTCCACGTTCATGCAAGCCAGTCACATATATGAGATGCTCCATTGAGCTCAAATGACTCATTGCTGATATGTACAGCGATGCAGTAGTAGTAGTAGTAGCAGCAGCAGCAGGAGGAGGAGGAGTAGTAGTAGTAGTGGTAGTAGCCGCTTCTCTCCTCTCTGGCTTTCCTGATAGTGGAAAGACTCCGGCGGGCCAAGCAGCTACTTGAACCAAGCCGTCTGCATCCTCCCAAACCTTGCAGCTTCCCACCTGCTCAGGTTTTTTGAAACCCTGTTGGGTTTAGGATTTGGTGGTGGGGTTTAGGGTTTAGGGATTTCGCAAGATCTGGGAAGCCACTTAGGGTTGAGGGGTTGGGCGCTTTTCTTGTCCCTCCCGAAAGGGTTGTCGGTCAGGGTGTAGTTTAGGGAAAATGGCCGCTACCAGGAGTGCAAAACCAGGCTACGCATGCTTGTCAGCCCTCCTTAAAACCAAACTAAACCCTCTCAAAAAATCAAATAAATCACAACACCCCGAAACTACAAGGGGCCAACCCAACACTGATGCCTTTGAAGTGCTCGCCTGCGGCTCCCCTGTCCCTTCCCATAATTCGCCCCGAGCGACCCCGAAAGGGCCCCTGCCCCTGTCCCTCCTCAGCCGGCATTCATCGTCTTATGCGCTCCACTGATTGGGCGCTGATGTGGAGACTGCTCTACACCCGACCCGGCCGAGGCGGACGCTGAAGTGTTCATGGTTGAAGATTGCTCTTAAGGAACCCTACTCGTACCCTAAACCCTACTCGTATTGAAGGTTTGTTCCTTGCCGCAGGGACGATAGAGGCTCTGAACCAGATGTCGTGGGGTTTCGAGTTTCGAGGAAGTGCACAACGAATGAGACCCCAACCGGATAAGCCCCAAAAGCCCATTGGCTTTGGGTAAGTCTGAGGTACTCTAGGGGCCAATCCTACAGCTCCAAACCACGAATTGTTGGTACGGGGCTGCTGCGCGTATTACGGTAGTTAGTTTGTAGGGACTACAGGGGCATGTTTTACCAATCTGAAGACAAGGCAAGGACATAAGCCAGTGGGGGCCTGGAGTTCAGCCAGCTCCAACACTCCCGAATATCGCCTTACACGCAATCCCGCTATGATTATCCTGCACGCAGGGTGTCTATGAAGGCATGCGCTATTGGAAACCTTTTCATGACAGTCCGAAATCAGCCTCACCGAAGTTTCGCATGATCTCCAGCGTATGGTCCACGTCATCCTGAATTGGAGCGCATGGATGTTGGGTTTAGGAGTTGGGCGGTTCTGACAGCAGCGCAACCTGTGAGTTTTGGGGGTTCCAGGTCGATGCTCGGGCTCTTGATGGAGTTCAAAAATTGAATAGATGTCTGGCACATCATAAAAAATGTTTATGGGAGAAAATACAAAGACAAAAAGCAAGACTTCAGTTCCCTTGGGGCATAGAGGATGCTTGTGACTGCAATTCACTCCTCTTTCAGTGCTCCAAATGCGCAATTATATAAATGCTTGTCCTCAAACAAAATGACAGCTGCCAAAGCTATCGGCATCAAGCTAACATGCCCGCCGCAGGCCCGTATAGTCGTCATGCATGTGCCAAGGAGCACGGCATGGAAGCATTGCAAACACAACGTTCGTCACCTGCCAAGCGGCCAAGCGATGTTCTCACTTTCCCAGTAGCTACTCCCATGATCTCCCATGCCATGCCATTGAGAAAACTACATCATAGATTAGTCGGTAACCCCACCTGCTTGGCGGTCATTCCTCCCAAGCACCAATTATTCGCGCCTCTGGGAGTCGGGATGGTCAGCTAATGCCAGGACGTGGGCTTGTGGCTCTCATTAATGTGACGAGGTCCGGGATTGCGGGTGAGCCTTTCGCGATTCGAATTGCGGGTTGTGGTTGAGTGGGCTTCCTTATCAAGGCCCAGAGATTCCCGATCGCCATGTGCAAGTCTTTGAGCATTTGTGCGAGAACTGGTTAAACACTGGGTCTTGGCTCCAAGAGCTGCGTAGGAAGAACTTAGACACTCAGCTGGGTTCTTGCTGTCGGCGAAGCAAAGACATGAGTGGCTGAGTAGCACTGTCCACTCCGTTTGCAATGTGGCTAGCCAAGCCCAGCACTCCCGAGAAATCTTGTGCAAAACACTCAAATGTCAAGCCCTTCAGACTCTAATTGCCGAACATCCGCGATGTTCAGGGCAAAAGGCACAGACAGCAACTCATCTTGACAGTCTCAGAGCCCAAGTGGCGATGAGTGCACTCTCTTCGCTTGGTTTTAGCGCAGCGATCGCGCAGCTCGAATTACTTTCAGCCAAAAGGCTGCGAGGGCAGCGGCATGTGCAAATGCTCTGCACGGGGTCCGCATGCAGGACTGCCGATTGCTATGCTGCTGGCGCGCGGAATCCCATCGTGCTTAGCAAGGCACTGCTGTAAGCTGTCCCACCACTCACAGGATGCACACTCGCCCAAAATCTGCTTTACAAAGCTTCATATATCGAACGCACAAATCTCGAGGTTTAGGCATATTCTTGCTTTTGTTGGTTGCAAACGGCCCAGTTAAACAAAGTCGAAATGACGCTGGGGGTACATGTTGTTTTGCCGTATGTACTTCTCATGCTAGTGAACGCCATCCAACTGATGTCAGAACGTCCTGGTCTATCGGAAACACAAAAAACAAACGCATGGAGAAGAATGGAGTTCTGTTGTGGGGCAACGCTCTCTCAAATGCTCCTGCGCCCCCGAGCCCCACGGCACTTAGGAACTTGTGACTTGTAACATGGGTGGGAGAAGTGGAAGAAGACCGAAGGCCTTGCAATAAAGAGGACTTATTGGTAGTGTGGCCTGTATACGATTCTCCCCTCCGAAAGCTGAGCCCAAAACTCTTACAACACACGACTCATCCGACAAGGCCGTACTCTCAGCCTGCAAGGGGATCCGACCGGTGCTCAGGCGCAGACTGGAGCATCGCTTGCTCGACGCACTGCCTGCCAAGTCCATCAGCCGCGAGATCTGACGCTCGGGCTTGGGGTTTTGCCTTGACGGATAACCTTGAAAGTTCCTGCCTAAACGTTCCCTGCAGCCAGTTGGTCTGAAAGCTGGAGAACAATGCAAGAGAAAGTCACCGACGTCCCACGGCACTCAAAAGCCGTTACACTTGCAGGGAGCCCGGAAAGCCATCATCAGCATCATTGTCTTGGCTTAGTGGTTGGTCGCTTCCACAATAATCTTGGTATGACCGCCATCATGTTAGTAGCCAGGGCTCATACAATGGTAATCGCTAGCACCACCCGCACCGCCGGCGGGGTTGAATGTGGCGGGCATAGCCTGCCTGTTGGCTCCCAAGCCGTTTGGCTTTCAGGTTCCCGGTCTTTTTGTGGAGGTTGTTTGCTCTTTGGTGTTTGCTGTGGGGTCTTGGGGATGGACAGTTTAGATTTTTCGGCCTTAGAGGTGCGAGGCATTAAATTTGCACTCCAGCAATCCATGGCTGGGGGACGTGGCTCTCCAAGCGACGCGGATGGAAGGCAAGTCCAAGACCTCAAAAGCGCAAAGCAGTGTGGGGCAGAGTTTTTTGAGTGTAGATTCGTACGTTCGTGCATCTGAAGGTGTCCGGTGTAGAGGTGACAGTTCCGGGCGTACTGTTTCGACTCCCGAAGCTCGGGCACTTCAGGTTTATTTGAAGGGATAGCTTCGAGTTCAAAAAAAAGATCACAGGATGACAGGATGGTGCGCTGCTTTGTATAGAGTATAGCTATCTGGCGCCTCGTTCCGAAACTTTCCCACATCAGCAGGACATTATTACTGCCATTAGAACCCGTTCAGACCATCCGCCATTGTAGTCATTCCACGCGAAATCCAGGAAATACTGTGCACAACAAGCGCGCCAACAGCAGGCATAGACTGACGACCTGGTTGCATCGCACAGATACCCTAACCCATGCTCCACTCTCATCTAAGCTCCCCGACACGTGCGCGCCCGATGGCGTAGCGCTCCAAGCCGTGGACAGCACCGACCAGGCCCAGGAGATACCTCGCGGTAAATGTCCACAGATCCTACAGCTCTTCGTTTGTTTTTTGGTTCCCTGTTTCTGTCATGCCACGATGTGGGAGTGCGGACCCTAAACTATGATGCTGATAGTCCTAGGCATACCTTTACACATGGAGGGAATGGTCCCAAGGCCAGAAGACGCAGCCTCGGGAGTAAGGTTGAACGTACCAGGGACATGCCAAGGCCTCTCGTCGTCAACATTGTCAATGCCGGTCCTCCACTCCTGCAGGCGAGGGTCTTCTGACTTATGGTACCGATTGAAATAAAAATTGCAACTAATAAGACCGTAGGTGGAAACCGAGTCTAGACGAATCGCGGGTGTCAGTCGGATCTGAGTCTCAGCTTCATGTCGCAGCCTTGGACATCGCCGCACACATAAACGGACCCCTGCAATGTGCTGGTCTTGCCGAAGTGTAAAATTTGGGCTTGCAGCGTGATACCTTGGCCAGCCGCTGATGGTCCCCTTTCACTGGCTCAGCACCAAAACCCCTAGTTGAGGTGCAGTCCTTCTACGATGGCTGCATTGTGCCTCTAGGCAGACCCCCCCCAAAAAAAAACACGGCCCGCGAACCCAGAAGCAATCCTGCGGCCATGGCATCGTCAATACCTCAGCGCCGATGGTTCTTGGTGGTTCTACTGGCAGAAGGGTTTTCCCAGTTGGGTGCCACTCTCCCGTGTTTCCCGAAGGCGTCGGAATGCCAACACGGCAGCCATGGACCATGCAAAGGTCTGACTTCTGAAGTTGCAGATTAAATCAGCTGAACCCCCCCAAAAAATGAGGCCAAGCTGCAGCTGAGAGACTCCAATATCCCTTAATTAAGTCCTTAAATCATCATAGTAGGATCCCTACGATAATTTCAGGTAGATTCCTGAAATTAAAGGATATTGGAGTCTCTGGGAGCAGCCTGAACCCTAGCCTCAGCCCCAGAATCATGCAGCAACTTGGCTACCGGCGCCCTTGCTGAAGAAGGACTCCAGCTGGAGGCATGTGAGATAGCCTGGCCCAACTGACTGCGTGTATCGCAAATATTCGCTTCAGGAGACTCGCGAAAGCCAAGGGGCGAGGACGAAAAGGCGATACCAAACAAGTGGGTAGTTGAAAATAAGGGTCCCTTTTTTGGGTACCCTAAATAATGGGTGCCGTAATATATAAGGGACCCCAAAAGGGACCATGATTTTGACAACAACTCAAGTGGAAGAAGTTGTACAACACACTTCGCAGCTGGCTAAAGCCTTGAGTGTGATTACCTCAACCCCTCAGTTCCCAAACCCTAAATCCTCCAAAACCGGCACCACAAAAGCCTACTTCCAACACCATCTCACGTTGATATACCATGTGGCCAAAGATCTTGCCTCAGGAACAGTCTTACAACTCGAGCAAACTCGAGCGGTATTCTCAATGAAGGGATGTGCAACCCCAACGTATGCCTGCCTTCCACGACTGGTTAAGGACATCCACTTAGTTGCGGAAATGTTCAATACTGCTGTACATACATACATACATTTTTGTCACTCGCACTCGGCATACATACGCACATACGCACACACACACACACACACGCACATACATGCATGCATACATACAGACGGACAGACCGTGACAGACCTGCATATGTACATACCACGTGCATACCTACGTTCATTTTCTACCTGATGATGTAAGTAGCAAAAAATTTGACACATAGAGGTCTCAATCCTCAGCCCTGGACATCCTGGCGCTGCGCGGCAGTCTACCACTATCTGAATCCTGAAAAGCTAACTGAAACTAGCCCCTAAACCCTAAACCCCCAAACAGCCCAATCCGCCGCCTTCGAGAAAACCGCCGAGTTCGTTGGATTCTGCGAACCGGGCTCGCGCCTCTAGCGGTCTCACGGGTTGTTAGGGCTAGCGGGATTGTGGGTGAGGTTTTGGAGTTTGGGACTTGATGATTTGGGGATTTGAGCTCTTGGGTGAGGGTCAGATGATCAGATGGGTCCGAATGCAGGCTTGGGTCTTGAATACCGTCCCACAAGGCTGCAAGTGTTTACAGGGCCTTTAGGGTTTGAGATGTGGGGTTTAGGTTCCTGATTTTCGGTTCGGGGCTCCGGATGTTAAACTGTTGTGTTTCAGGTTAGGGCTTTGACGCCGGCCTGTTTTGATTTTGTCCATGTCAGCTTGAATCGAACAGCGCTGTTCATGGTTGAGGGTCCAGTTTCTGATTGGTTTACAGGAGTCCCAAGCCTGGGCCTTGAGACGTAGGCAGGAGACGTGACAATTCATCCGACGCTGCCTCTTGGGGCAAAACAATGAATCCAACAGGGGGATATATGTGCCATGTCTCAGTCGGACTGACACACGCGGACACAGGCTATCTGAGGCCATCTTTTGCTGGCGTGATGCTGCCCTGTGCTCGCCGCAGCCAAGTCGAAAAACAATATGGATGGCAAGGTGCTTCTTTTTTCATGCACTGCCGAACCCGATGCCTCCGTGACCTGCAGATAAATCCCACGCGACACTTCAGTGGGGCGCCTCTGCATTCGACCACGACTCCCCGACGACGTTGCTTGGCAAAACAACCTGCTGGAGGGACCTCGACTCGTTGATGACGCATAGTAGGGTTTAGGGACGAATGAAGATCTATTGGGAGTGTTTATTATTCCCTTGTCGCAAGCTCTTTCTGGACTTGAGTCCTGGTTGAGTTAAGGCTTCATGAGACTTTCTGGCTGTGCCGTGGCGAGGCCTGGTCTTCCAAAGGTTTGGGCAACTTCTCCGTGAATCCTCGAGCAGATAGTCACGATAGTCAAAGCTCTAGGTTTAAACCCGGTGCCAACAACAAGGCAAAGGGTTAAAGTGCTTGATCTTGTCCTCTGTTTATGAAGCTTTTGGCGGCTTCCCAACTGAATCTCTCATGTCACTATGTTGGGCAGCTGTTGGGACGTTGATGTCATCTCTCAGCGGGCCGAGGATTAAAGGCTTCCCGATATGGGGCGCCTAACAACAATACACAGGACACAGGCTGTGGCAGTTGAAGGCCCTTTTTGCCAGCATCAGGACATGCCTCTCGGAGATCGAGAAACGAGCAGATGCCTTGCACATTAGCGCATTAACAGAAGCCCCACAATGCTATCCTGGCTTTTCAAGCACAGGACAAAAGGCGGACACCTGTGCTATGGGCGTTGAGGAAGGCAGCACATGCCCAATCCTGTACAAGTTCGTGCTGCTGGCAGAGGAGAGTGGCTGCGTCTTTGACGAACCTCTTCGAGGACTCAGTGGGCAGCTAGGTCTGTCCCAGGCACCGCCGCTGTGTCATCTGCGACTGCATCTGCACCGGCAGCCTCGGAAGCACATTCAAGTGATCGAATGGCCAACACCTCTGAGGAAGCTTCATAATTCAGAATTGCTTATTCTTTCTGCCCTGCGTGAAGCAAGGGCGGCTCCCGATCTGAAACCCTTAGATCCTAACGCGCGCAGTCACAAGCCGAGGAGCACAGTGGAAAACCCTTCTGTCTCCTCACTTCGGCTTCGGGGTTCTTGCTTGGGGCTTCAAGTTGACCATGATCCTCCCTATATATATACACATATCATACATAAAATTATTGTATATATATATATATCTCCCCATTGCTGTCACAACTCGAGAAGTACAAGTATTCTACTGTCTACTGTCTGGACCGGAGCAGATAGCGCTGCGTACCAGCTGGCTCAAACCCTCGAGTGAAGCGCAAGGATGCAGTTTACGGCTTGGACTTTTTGTGGCCTTCGGACTGTAATACCAAGTGTCCTGAAGGGGTGGCAATGAAGACGAGGTCTCGTTTGATGTTAGCTTAAGGTTCTGCAGCCCCAATGCTCTTGATTGAGAACCTGTAGCCTGTAACCTTTATTGAGTCACGGGCTGGGGCCGGCAAGCCTGTAACTTCAGCCCTTGAAACAAGCCGCAGCACCCAAAGCCTGAGGCTGGACACCCTGAACCGTTCAAGGAAAAAACCGCGCCCTGAACCCTTGCAAAAGGTCCCCAAGTCCTCAAAGCGCAGGCCATGGATGACCGGCTGCTGAACTTGCTTGGGGTTTTAAGACACCTCGACCTGACAAAGGAGGCGGAGCTGCGAGCATGGGGGTTGTAAGGTTCCTCACTGCTAAGGATCTGGAAATCTAGCGTGTAAATTGGGTATGTAGATGCCCGTTTGCCGCTTCTTTCATGATGGCTTATTTCGCAACTCTTACTTCAGCAAACATACAGTACTACTTATGAGTTCAGCAATACTCCTCAAGCAGTTGAAGTGTGTAAGAGTCTACCGGACACGGGTTCTTTGGAGGCACTCCCACCCTTTCAAGATCCTTTTTGCGGGCTTTGCAGGCTTTCCTAAACCCTAAACCCTTTCAGGGTTTTTTGAAGAGTCTCAGTTGTTCTAAGGACCTCCGAAGCCTCGAACCTTAGGAAACCTTATGGGCCATGCCTGGGTCTTCGGCCATTCTTCAGCACCGTCCAGATGTCCGCCTCCTGAACATGATCCCAGAAAATGCGTAAGGCGTAAGGCTGTCGGCATAAGGCCTTTCCGGGGAGGTGTCGCGGATTTAAAAGGGTGCCCGATCGCACAGTAGCAATGCTCTGGGCACAAGAACACATCAAGCATGCGCTTCGGGCCATACAAACCCGCTCAGCGACAGCAGACGCCGCAGCACTAATGACAATATGAACATTAAGACATGTAATGACAACAAGTATTCACAATAATGCTTCTAGTAGTTGACGGTCACCACCCTCATCATCACCATCGGCAGCTTTGGCATCAGTATCACCGCCGAACAACTGCTCGGCTCATGCGCCTCAGTCCTTCGCGGCTGCATACCATTCGCTTATGCAGCACCCCAAAAGTTTTGGCCCCACGTGCCCGGCACCGCAAGCCGTGGCGCGAAACCAGACCTTCATCCGCGCTGGTCCGAAACCCGGAAGACCCGGAACGAGCTCACCCGTTGGTGTCCTCCTTGCTTACCACCGACTGGTCCTCCAGGGCGAAGGAGCAGAATGCACTTTGTGTCCGGTTTATGGTTGAGGGCTTTAGAGTCTGAACTTGGACACCGCAGCCTACCCGAGTGCAGTGGAAGTCTATGCGGAACCTGTGACAACTCGTTATTATCTTCGGTGCTCCGTCGCTGTTCAGGTTTCAATCCCCGGTCCTCCCACTCTGGCATGTCTATGTGCTGTGTAAACCAGACGATGGCATTGTTCTCTTTTCGGTCGACCTGCGATAGCCGCTACTTCCGGCTAGCACTAGTTTGTAAGTGGGGTTGGGTGTCAGGATCAACAGGGGTCGGGCTTGGCTCCGTGTCAGAGTCAAGCTGGTCTGTGTTTTCGGTTGTTGCTTCAGCGAACGCTGCAGGAACACGCGACAGCCAAGAGGAAAGGTGACGGAAGGAGTTCGCAGGGGACATCTCTGAGCCCTAAGCTCTAAGCCCCAGACCGACCAGTAGGTGCACGCCGCCCCACCCCAGCCGAACTCGTGGCCGCTGAAGCCCGCTAGCGCCCCCAACAGGCACTGCTTCTCCTGCAAGGGAGACGGTTCTCTTGTTTCCCCGCTTTCCACATTGAGACTCGTCTTGTCCAGAGCACGCATTGAAAGGAGGGGTTGGGGTTCTGGGGAAGCACCAGTTAAGAGGTTCACCCTTTAAAACGCAGAATATATTTGTATATCCGGGTTTAGGGCGACCGAGTCAGCTACTAAGCTAGACGATGCTAGACGGTTCAGGTGATTGCGGACACCGCAGAGCTTGGGTGCGACGAGCTTCTATGGCATGAGGTAGGCAAGGTCCTCGTTTGCCAGACCACTGTCTTTGCGTGCGGACTCGAGGGTCGCGATTGTGTCCTGGCAAACTCGATTTCAGTGAGCCGTCGCTTTGTGGCACCGCAGCACTACTATCACAGGAAGTCTTTATTTGACTGCTTCGACTGCTGCATGACAGCAGCTACCTCGGAACGTGATGACATCGAGGAACACTGCGAATGTATGTTAACACAGCTGAAGTGGTGTGGTACATTGCGGCACATGTGCTGCCAGCCGAAGCGTCCTCTGCCAGGATCCTGCGCCCGTCGCCAGACACACCACGGTGGACCTCTCAAACATACGACGACGTCTGTGGCGAGGGTTTACGCAACCGTGGTTGTGGTTCACTTATGTCTGACATCTGCGTATCTATGAGTTGTACAGCTGTTAAACTCAGATGAATGGTAACTCAGCTGCAACCTTAGTGCCTTAGCCGCGTAGACGAAACAGCAGCTCGGCAGGCCATCACGAACAGCCAAGGGGCCAACATTCGCACGAATCGGATGGTGTCGGCCACGGTGCTGACCAAACCACCCTGAATGTTGGGTGCGCATGGCCAATACGACGCATAGCTTTACGTCGTGCTATCCGTCTGTCTCCATGACTAGAGTAGCAAAGCGGGTTCCTTGCACATCCACTTCAGGTCCTTCTGAGGGCTTTGCGGCCGAAGGCTATTCTTCCCTCTCGCGCGGCAAGGACAAGCACACATGGCAGGGTGCAGGGTATTTGTTTGCAGCACCCTCGTGGTATCATCGATCACTATAAGAAACCTGAGAGCCACAGCGTGGAGGCTGCTAAAGGAGATCTACTAAATAAACCCTTCCCCAGCCTGCAGGTGCCCCATGATGCCTCCGCCAGACTGCACCTTGCATTCCTGACCCTGGCGCCAGGCGCTGTCCTCCTTGGTGACACTTAGAGGGCCGGGGGACTTCGTAAGTAGGTTATAAGTAGAGTTATAAGTACCCTAATTGGAAGTACCCCAATTATAACTCCACTTATAACCGACTTACTAAGTCCCCTGGGCCTCTAAGCAGTTACTCTGCGGCATTGGAAATTGTAATTATAGAATTCCGTTCCATAATGAAGTTGACATAAATAACAATGGTGCGAAATGTTCGAGCGTTCCATGCACATTTAAAATCGGTAGAGGAAATAAACAATGAATGTTGATAGACGGCGTAATGGTGATATCAATATTGACATTGACACACATTAAATAAATTTCAGTTTCAATGAAACCGAAGGAGAACCTATAACACAAGAAAAAAAAGATACGAATTAAGTAAAAAAAAATAAATAATGTAAAAATAAATTTGTAATATATAGTGACAGCTGTATAGTCTTTTGAATTCCCCCGGAAAGAGATGAAACAGGATGAACACCCCGAATATTGCGCCCGTTGCTCTCTGCAATTGCTTAAGTCCCAGACATCGTAAGTGAGCAAGGGAAGGGGGAGTATCTTGGAACGCTTACATAATTGATGGTACATAAGATAGGATCGGAATTCGTTTGGACCCGGGATTAAACCTTAAGGAATTTTGTATAATATAGCAGGTATTATATGAATTTCCCAATATATTATATGACTATTTGTAAAAATAATAGTATATTGAATTTTAATGATATTGAATCAATAAATATTGTGGATGTTAAATATTGTTGGACATGTAAAATATACAAAGATAAAGAAGATTTTAAACGTTTGTATGAAGAAAAGCATTATAATAAAACTTGCCGTAGATGTCTTGATAAAATGGATAAATAATATTATAAATGTATTTCTAAAGAATACCTTTAAAAGCCGTAATAAAGATTGAAATATTTAGTATATTATAGAATGGCCGAAAGCAAAAGTAAAAAAACAGTTTGGAATAAACAAGACGAAAGCAGATATAATTCATTATACAATAAATTAAAAGCATCAGGTGAAGATATTAATAAAGAAAATTATCTTATAAAATACAATAAACCGAAAGTACAAAAATTCATTAATAACTTGAACTTATCAACATCAACTAAAGAAGGCTTTTATTTTATGGTTTCTAATTGGTTAAAATTAAATGATCCAACAAATACAATGATAAGCAATTTGACAAATAAAGGTTATGACCTCATGATGAAACGAAGTAAAGAATATGATGAAAATGAATTAAGTGAAAAGAAACAAAAGAACTATAGAGATTATTCATATTTTGTTGATATTTTGAATCAAACTAATTCTAAAGAAATTAAACATTCAGAAACCATTTACAATATTTATTGTTAAGTTTATTATTAAAACAACCAGCAGTGAGAACATCATTTTATACTAGTGCTGAATTTCATACGAAAGGCGGTTATGACGAAAAGAAAAATCATATTATGTTAATGACAACAGGAACAGGTAAGCGTCGTGTAATGTATTATGTCGGAAAAGATAAGGTTACAGGCTCAAAATCATTTTCTGATATACTTAAAAATAATATTGAAGTTGAAGGTAAAGAACTTATTGAATCACTTTTTTATTCAATTGAAAACTATCCAAGAACATATTTATTTGAAAACCGAGGAAAGCCTATACAAGATGAAACATTATTAAAATATCTACGAGAAGTAACAAAGGATAACATTGATATTGATACAATGGGATCAGTTTATATTAGTCATTTTTATACTAATTTTCATATTAAATATGCAGAAAAAAGGGAACTTGCTAGAAAAATGAGACATGACTCACAAACCGCGCAACAGAAGTATTTATTAGTATTATCAAAAACGAAAACAGACAATGCAAAAGATGATCGGATAAAAGCACTTGAAAAATGAACAAAGAGCTAGATGATAAAGTTCCACAATTAGAATAAAAAATACTATAAACATAATATTATTATACTTATTTAATTATAATAAATTCTATAAGTGGCGAGTTTGGTGAGTTTGAGACTAAAAAGTTAAAATAGTAGGTAGGGTTTTCCTTCCTCCCGACCTTCCTACTATAGCTTTTAAAAATTCAACTGCCAACTCACCACGTCGCCACAGAATTAAATAAGGTTATGATTTAATGGCTTGTGGTCAGTTGAACTCACCACAAAATAGTTAATAACATATCTTAATAAAGGTCTTAAAGAAATAATAACATATATTATTAATAATAATGGAAATTATTAAAAATATGACGAATTAAAAAAAACTACTGCGAGGCAACGGCGAGAAATTAGCGGACATATTAATAAAGAGCAACCAACACAAAAACAGTATTATAAAAAAAATAATACATTCAATGAAAATGCTAAAAAATATCATTGATAATCATATGACAGAAAATGAAGATGAGTTCAGTACAATTAATAATGATATTGAGAATTTAAAAATCTTATTTATGATTTAGAAAAATTTTTTAATATTGAACACGACGAGGAAAGAATGAGAGCAATAGTTCATGGCGATATAGAAGAGGAAGAGGAAGATGAAGAAAAATAAGATGAAGAAGAAGATGAAGAAGAAGACGAAGAAGAAGAATTATCAATTAATGAAAGATTACAATTAGAATGGCAAAATAAAATGGAAGATATGAAAAGAACAAAGGAAGACGCCGAAAAAGAAAAAAACGCCAAGCGAATAATTAAAGAAGCCAACAGAATTTAAAGATATGGATGAAGTATTTACTAATTGTTGTTATTCAAAAGAAGTAGGAGACCCAGAAAAACTATTCATTAAATATGTTCAAAATAGTTATGAATTGTCAGAAACAAATAAGGACAGAATAAAACCGCAATATATCAAACGTTTTTTTAATGAATATTCAAAAGATGAACTTGACAAATATACTAAATCAGAAAATTCAACTAACAATTTTTCAATTGAACAAGTAGATGAATTATTAGACGAAATGGGATTTCCAACGCAAAAAATAAACGAATGAACAAAAGAACACACAGATTATAAAATGAGGAAGTCAAGCGGAATTTATTATTATATGAATATTGAAAAATTACCATAAGATTTTACGGCAAAATAATATCTTAAATCAGATGACAAAATTTATAATCGTAAAACGTTAAATGTATATTTACAAAATTCAATAAGATTAAAAATTTAAAATTATAAATTCCTTTTTTGGAAAATTTTTAAGTATATATACAGGAAAATTATTACTTTCTTGCCAAAATAATTCTATTAAGTGTATTCAAAAATATTTAGGGCAAAATATTAAAATATTCAGGGCAAAATATTTTTTTTATTGCACTTATTCAAAAAATATTATCGCGCGAAGTTTTTTGTTGATACTTATTGAAAAAACATGAGGGGCAAAATATTTAAATAATTTAGAGAAGAATAAATTTATTACACTTATTGAAAAATAAAATATTTCAGGCGAAATCCAAACATGGACAAAGTGAAAAACTTTCTTTTACTAATTTTTTGATAATAAAGGTATACCTCTCTCCTTCTTTCTTTATATCCTTTTCTCGCGCTCGCTCTCCCACGCTCTGTCTCGCTCTTTTCTTTGCTTTGCCTGGCTTTGCTTTGCTTTGCTCTGTCTTTGCTCTGTCTTCGCTTTGCTTCATTTTGCTTCGCTTTGCGTCGCTTTGCTTCGCTTGGCTTTGCTCGGCTTTGCTTGGCTTGGCCTGGCTGGCTAGGACTACAAACTCAGCGCGGATCTTCGAAGTGCTGCAAACCCTGAAGACTCAGAAGCCACATCGATAAGCTTCGCACAAACTCACCGCTCTTTCAACTTGATCCTTCTCCTGAAAAGAAGCAAACAAGTCATCAATCAATCAACTGAGAGCTGTTGTTATGACAACATAGAAAAACCACATGATTCAGAGGGCCTGCATGACTGCTTCCAGGACCGCCTCACAAAGTAAGAGTGTCTGCCAAACACGTCACATGCTAAAAACCTGTTTTTCCAGTCGCTCTCTCTCTCTCTCTCTCTCTCTTTGCACCTGCGCGTCTTCCAGTTCTTCTGTGACATCGCATATCTTATCGAAACGTAGGCAGCAAACAGGAACTTGACTTCTGTCAACTACTCGGGGATAGCCGAAGAATCACAGTGAGAATCATCTGGGGGAAGGGCTACCTCGCAGTGCCCATTTTGCACATCTGTTTTGCTTCTCGGCCTGCATCATCCGAGCGACCCAAGAGGTCTCTAGGTGGCCGCTGCAAGAACAACTGACATGGGTTTGCCCAGTGAGGCAGACTATGGCTGATTGTGGACTGTACGAAGGCCTTGCGAAGCGCCTCCTTCGTGGCCTGCACATTCGAAAAATAAACACATGTCCTTAACTCCATGTGTGCGAAACCAGGCGACTCTTGCTCAATTTGACATCTGTTCACGAGTCTCAAAGGAACAGGCAGAAGGCACGCACATATGTCTTTACCTTCCACGGCCTCCATGCGCTCAAAGAGGCTCTTGACGAAGCTTTGCTGCATTGCGCGCTCAGCTTTCAATTTGGCATGCCCGGCTTCCACAACACGCTGTGCTGACCAAAGCCTGGGGAAGAAAACCACAAGTTGATAAAGCAACAAGCTGAAGCAATGTGAGAACACGTAAGCACCAAAGAGCTAAGAACGTGACTGCTTCTGCAGTTCAATGTTCTGTTTCTGCAGTTCAATATTCTGTTCATATAACCTCGGCCACAAGGATGGTGGCAGGGCAGCAAGCAACCTTGCCCAATTTGCAATACGAGCTGCATGTGTCGATTGTCAGCAAAAAGCTGACCCTCGCGCTCTCCACAGGTGTCCTGTGAACAAAGCGCTTTTCAAAAAGTGCTGGCAGGTTGAAATCGGAATAGACTGAGAAGACTGGGAAAATATAGAAAACAAAAACAAGCGAGCACCAAGTCGTCGAGCGATGTGGAAGCTGAGGATGCCCTGCGCAAAGCCCTTTACATGTCACCTTGTCATTGGCTGCTCGATCACCATGGGGCCCATACCTGGCAGGGTTCGAACTGTACAATGTCAAATGGGTGATTTCAGTTTCACGCATTTTCCGCAAGGGTCCGAGAAATACATCATTTGAGATCTGAGTTTCTGCCCAGTTTGGGTTGATGACTCGAAATCCACCGCAAAACAGCACATGACAAACAGTTTGTCATCCAAGTCGCCAGTAGTACCAAGTACACAAATGTCCATCCTGCAAGTACCTGTCAGGTCATGGAGTCGTGCACTGTGTGAGCTAGTTTGAGCTCAAAGTGGCCAGGGCACATCGGAGCGTCAGTCATGGCTGCACGTTTGGCAGTCTTGACTGTTGGCAACTGCGTTGCAATCAAACACGTTTAGCATCAAACAAGGTTCTTGTGTTCCACGTGATCCATATCCGCCATATCCCTCCTCAACAGATGAATGTACCCCCGTGCTGCAACACCATTGCCCTTGCTTCTTCCTGCAGAAATGGAGGGGCAGAGCCAAGGCATTCTTAATTTACGCTCTGTTTCAGAGAAGAAATGCTGCGGCACAGGACAGCATCCGCAGTCATCTGGCTTTGGCGGCAACAGGTTCCAAAGTTAAAGTGTCAGTCGCTCATGCTTCTCGAGTTGTTTAAAGGCGAACATGATTTCGGATCATTGATATGATCGTGCCAAATGGGCCTCATGCAAAAACCAACGTCTTGGACAGAGGCTGACAAGCCAAATGTCTTTCGTGACACTGCCAATCAGCAACAATCCAGAACTTTGTGGGCGTTTCATGTACTTCGTGCTAATGGCGCATCTGTTGTGGGCAGCGATTCAAATATCGTCGTTTACATATGGACATTTGCACTTACGTTTTCGGATTGCACGTGCCAGTGGCATTAAATTCGCCGGGTCTTTGCATACAGCTCTAGGCCTTGTCATGTGTTTTGCTTTGGATAGGCGGAGGGATTCACGTTGCATCGCACATCTGGAGTGGATGAGGGATTTGGGAACCAGTGCTTTTGGGGCTTTGCCGATGCACCAAATGGGATGAGCAAACCACAGCGAGCAATGGCAGCGTGCTGAAGACCACAAGCCTCAAGTCCTGAGCCCTCAGCTCATAGGTTTGAACATGTTTGAACGCGTACTTACCAAAGCAACTTACAGCATGCCAAATGAATATGAACAACTCCATGGAAGAGTTGGAACTTAGAGAGGGTTCAAAAAAGGGCAAAGAATCAGCATGTCGGAGAATGCCCGAAGGCGCTTCAGAAACATTTCTGCAATCGGTAAAATGAAGACTGCCTCGAATTCCACATTCCGCTTCGACCCATACCGCTCCCTGCTCCTGCCTTCGAACTCGGGCAACCGTCCAGTGCATCGCAAGTGCATTGCTGCTCAAGGGGATTTCTGATCTCAATTATGGAACCTTTCATGACCCTGAACAGGCTTTGGCTTAACATAACACTCATGTCAAGGACTCGAAGCAGTGCCTAATTTGGGTAGCGAAGCGGACCAAACAGATTGTTCCCAGGAGGCCCGGGGGGGTGGGTGAAACACTGATGTTACACATCCAGGTGCAGACTGTCTCACGTATCACTTGCATGTATCCATGCCTGTGGCTCAAGGTTCTAGCAAAGCACTGACTACAGCGGTGCGCCTGTAGAAAAAGAGACTCCTGTGGGCCTGTGTTCCTGTACGCTTTGCGAGGGGATACACGTCCAGGCTACATCTCAACGTGGTAGCGGAACTCCCGGGAAAATTCCCGGTGTGCTTCACTCAGGTGAAGGTGACCGGAGTCTCTCCGGCATGCTTCGCTCAGGTGAAGATAACCGGAAGAGAGATTTCCCGGGGCTCGATCCGTGGGCAACGCAATGGTTAGCCACTCTGCGACATCGTTTGAGCTTGGAGAAGGAGAAGACGATTACCTCCTTCATGGCAGTGAATCTTATGCGACGAATCATCGTCATCTCAATGAGTTACACCGTCTCTCAGCCTTCCAGCAAGTGACCACAAAGGTACCGCCATCTTATGATGGACGAAGCAGCTGGTTCGCCTACGAAGATTTTCATCGATGACTGGTGTGATATCACAGAGTTAGACAATGACAAGCGTGGACCTGCATTGAGAAATCGTCTTGAAGGGGAAGCTGCAATCCACAAAAGGCTTCTGGACAGAGATCTCCTGAAGGATCCCAACAACGGAGTGAAGTACTTCAAGAGTTTCCTGCGGCCGCTTTTCGTGAAGGGAGCAGCGAATGTTTTCTTCTACCGCTTCCAGCAGTTCATGAACATGCACCCCGGGAATGGAGACATGCTTCGTTGGATTACCAGGTTTCAACTCTCTGTCAACAGGATGCAAGAAGCGTGGAACGACACCTACATCCCGATCACGGACCCGAACAATGCCGTACACTAGCTAGCGTATCTCCCTCAACTCCACCGGGGAGTACGTAGCAAGCCTAGCTTTAGCTCAACGGCTTCGCACAGTAGCACGGACAACACGAACTTCTCTCTTTTTAGCGTTGTGGCGAAGTCCCGCGTTAGCCCTCAAGGGCAGGGACCTTTACTAAACCGGACAAAAACCAGAAGCCCTTGTTGAGTCACAGGCTGGGGCCATAAGCCCTTTTTTTGAGCAGGGACTGCAATGCATCAAGCCCTGAATCCCTTCAGCCGAAAGTCCCTATTATCCCTAAACCCGGCAAGCTGAAAGTGGCAAGTGTCCGGACGGTCACCGTCCAGTCGAATCAGGCCCGCTCGGGAGACAAGCGGGGTCCTGTCGGTTGGCGGAATGCAGGTTTCCATCACCGGCTTTGGCTTGAAGTTTATTTAACTTGGTAGTAGTTAAGAGACTTCAAAAGTGTTGGTGAATAGGTGTCCTCTCTACGTGTCCCTGTACAGAGGTTCTCTGAGCGTCATGTGCAGATACTTGTGCACAACATATGGGTGGTTGTCAAAGTTATGGCCCCTTTTTGGGAACCCTAAATATTCGGTGCCGTACTATAATAAGGACTCAAAAAGGGACCGTCTGAGAACGGACTCTGGAGATTTGTGTGGCCTTGCTGCGAACGCTAAACACAATGCCTGCGGTGTTAGTGTTCCGAATCTCGAGGGTCCGGCAAAGGACTGGGAAAGCAGACCCCCTGGCGGATGATGGTGCTTGCCGGCAGCATTTCGTGCTCAGGCAGAATTTTGTACTTACCACCAATGGTACGATTATGCGCTCAACAGCCATCCTTGTCTCTGCAACCTGGCACCCGGCTCCGATATATCGTAACCGGAGATTCGGATGCCACTCTCCCTGTACACTGTGTGGCCATGGCCTTCCGGACACGTCTCCATAGAGCCTCCCCCAGGTGCTCGCATTGCCGTAGCCTCTGTCCAACCCGAGCTTTGGATGCTGCGAAAGACTCTACTTGCCGTGAAGCCAGGATATTTCCGCTATGTCGACTCGCGCAGCTCAGAGTTCCGTTTTTGGGAAATGAGACTAGTTTTGCTTCCACTCGTCCAAATACACCATGCGCGCCAAGTGGCATGCCGCCAAACGGTGAAGCTTGTCGTCCGGCACAGAAAACCTGGAATCCACGACAACATGCTCCACAAAATAACAAAACAGTATCTTAGTCAGGGCCCGAAGCCTAAGCCTCAGTCTGTCCGATGAGCTGGAGAGCACCTCAAACCCGTTATACCGTTTGTAAGCAAGAAACTATATAAGCCCTTTTGCAACTGGCTTGCAACGTCATGCAAATCTTGAACCCTGAATGAAACCCACTTTGGCTAGACCGTGGGACCCGGTGTCGTCCATGCCGAGGGGTCGGAAGATCCTCTCTTGCCTTGGATGCCACATGGGAGATGCTCGGCGAGACTGTAGGTTTGGAGTTTAGGGCCCTACAGCTTGCATCATTCCATCAGCCTCGACATCTGAACTGCGAATCAGGATCAGGTAACTTTATCGAGTCTGAGGGCGGGTTGGGCCCAACGGCCAAAGCGAAGCTAAGGAATGGTGAGGTGAGCCCGTTTTGGGGCGTGCTGCCACAATCTTGAACAGAACTGGCCTGCATGCGAGCCTCTTTGCAAACCATTTTTTCCTGACGCAGGTCTCTACAGCTATGCCTGCCCCTTCCAAGTACTAACTAAGTTTCTCGGGCCTTTCAGGATGCCTTTCAGCATGGTGCTAGTCGGTATGCCATTGCCTGGAAGTGGAAGGAACGTGCTGGGGTGCACGCTCTCAGCTGGGTCCCTGTTGCAGTACTAGACTACTAGATATGCTTTCAAGTTTTTCCTCAGCTCAAATACGTCAACCTCTTCTTCCAGTAGAGCATCTTGCAAATACTTCGCAAGCAAAGCCTTGAGGTCCATCTTCAAACATGAAACCTAACCCCCAGCTTTAAGCCCTACAACTTGAGCATCTGAGATCTTCCACCTCCCCGGACTGTGTTCCTTGCAGGGTGCAAGAAATCTTCCAAGGTCTTCCGGCTGATAATCTCCACGACACGGCCCAGCACGTCGGTGGAAAAGCCGTAGGCATAGGAGTCGCCCGGGTGAAATCGCAAAGGAACCTTCCGGAAGACTTGCTTGACATCAACCGGGAGAAAGCGCTTCTTGGTGCGCAGACTCAGACTCTAACCGTGAAATCGTGTGCATAAGAAAGGTACGCTCACACCTGTAGCGATGTGAAAGGCTAGTCTGCTTTACGTGTATACATTGGCACAGAACTAGACAGTGTCAGAGTGCGCTTGAGGTTTTGGACACTTGCGAACCCACAGAATGCCGACAACTGTAGGCCTGATGGAACAACTACGATCAGCAAACCGATGCAGGAAATCCCGGAAACCCCCCTCACCACTCAACAACAAACACCATAAACAAGCAAAACAACTCAACAAAACAACTAGCACTGCTCTTTCTCCCTCTCTCTCTCTCTCTCTCCCTCTCTCTCTCTCTCTCTCTCTCTCTCTCTCTCTCTCTCTCTCTCTCTCTCTCTCTCTCTCTCTCTCTCTCGCTGCAAATAAACGAGTATATAAGCATAAACTAATAAGTAAATAAGAAGTGAATAGATGACCAAAAACAAACACATCCAGAGACACAGAGACACACACAGACACACACACACACACACACACACACACACACACACACACACACACACACACACACACACACACACACACACACACACACACACACACACACACACACACACACACACACACACACACACACACACACACACACACACACACACACACACACACACACACACACACACACACACACACACACACACACACACACACACACACACACACACACACACACACACACAAACATGCCATGCGCCCATCCCTTCCATCTATCTTACGGGCATATGTGCATATGCACAAGCATATACATACACTCACAGACACAGACACGTTCAAAACTCTACAAAAAGTGATGACATGCTTGTTATGTGATAACATGTGTGGCTGCTTCACACACATGCACACCAACCCTCTCTCTCAGACACACCCACACTCACTGACTCTCTCACTCGCTCACACACACACACAGAGACGCACTCTCTCTCTCTCTCTCGCACACAATTCTCAGACGTGTTGGTTCGTCCCTTGTCCTGAAACCCAGGCGTCCGTAAGTCACTGACCACTCTTTGCCCAGCCTTCGCCAGGCGATTCACAAAAACGGCCAGACTTCGGACTTGTCCGCAGTCTACATCGCCCCTAGGGTTGGGCTTGCACGGCTTGTGGATGCACGGTGTTTTCTTTCTCTTGCATGCGTGCTATCTGGAAAACATATCGTAACCAAACAAAGACCCAGGTGCATAAGCTTGGCATAGCCTTCCTCTGTGGCATCGCTGGGAACCTCGCCGAAGCCAGAGCCATACGACAGACCGGAGGTGTGAGTCAACCTTGGAGTCAAATGAAGAGCCTCACTATATAACATTCACCGACTAGAAACTATAGCTATAATGGATCTCGAGGACTAGAAGGCGATATCTACAGGGCTTAGTACAGTCTACAAATGATGTTTGCTTGGGAACCGGATGAAGGTGACAAGGAACGGCACAAGCAAAGCCACTGCCAATGCAAAGTCAACAGCTGGAGGAAGTACCACGAACTCTTTCTGAGGAACAGAACTTATGTGGCCATTAGGGGCACTGTAAGGGATCCATCGGGTTTAAGGGATGCTCCAGCGTTTATCGTTTCAACTAGATATGTCCCTCAAATACATTTAAACACTACGAGTACTCGCCGCTTCAAGCAGGCAGGTCTCTTGAATGCCACAGCTTTAACCTCGCACCTTGTGTCAAGAGCATTAAACCTTTTGGCTCTACTCGGTCTGAGTCTTTGCTTCAGGATTTCAAGCTTCAGGGATCCCGTCGCACTACGATAGGCGCTTTAAGAATTAGAATAGGGTTTTATAATAAGGACACCCCAAAATGGTATATTTGAACGTTCAGGCCCCTATATTAAAACCTCATAATAGCCCTTATAGTAGCCCCTATGGACTCCTTTGAAGGAGCCCTATTCGTAATTATGAAGGACCCTGTCTTGTACACAGCAGGGAAACAGGTGGTGCATTCGCATGGTCCGCTTGGGTCTGCAGAGTCTGGAGGGAGGAGACTCTTCGCAGGAGCGCGAGGCGACCACCTCTGCGGCTTTGCAGGGGTGTATAGTATAGTATGCAGTAGTATCGTAGGAAAGTATAGCATAGCATAGTACAGCATAGTAGTATATTAGAGTATATTAGTAGATGGCAGTATGTAGTATACTATGGTATAATATACCATAGAATAACAAGGATCCGAATTTAGGGCCCCCGGTACTATATTGGGGTCCCCTATTTTGGGAACCTCCCATGTGATTTTTTGACACTCACTCTCGGACAAAGCCTGGCAAGGTCTGCAGCGATACTGGTCTCTCGTTAACACAAGCGATTGTGATTTAAGGTTCTTCTACCGCGGTTTGCGGTGACAGGCTTTCGGGAGGGGCTGGGCAAGAAATGTGTGTGGTTCCGGGTGAAGTTGACGGCTGAGTTGATGAGTTTGTCTTGTGAGCAGGTGCTTTGGGTGGCGGCGGTGGGGCTCATGACCAGTTGTGTTTGCAACATCTTGCAACTCGCCCATGAAGCTCCATGCAAGCATGACAAGCAACTAATATTCAAAGAGTAGCGCTGCCAGTCCAAAAACCAAACAAAGCTGGTGGTTAGAGTATCAGTAGCCGTACCAACAAACAATAATATGATCCTGGTAATCATACCTGAATCGCCGACATGTAGCCGAACTAGCCACAAGTCTTGTCAGTAGCAAGCAGAAACCAGATACACATACAGGATTGAATGGTGATGCTAGTTGTAGTAGCATGCCTTGTCCACGCGTCCGGGCAGAGCTACGTGCAGCGTAAGCGTGTGGCAGGAGACGAGATTCTGTGACTCGATTAAGAGCATCGCCAAATTGAACCACGAACACTAGCACTCACCAACACCATGCTCAAGCTGAACCCTTGACCCTCACCATCATGGTCATCATGACCTTTACGGTCATCCCCAGAAGCACCACGTGCTGCAAATCCAACCGTGAATCTCTCACTCCGATCCCTAGGTTTCGGGCTTGGGGTTTCGACTAGCCCACGCTCGCGAACTACGAATCGACGTGCCGCATGCCCGAAATGCACCTGGACATCGGTGAAGGCCGGCAGGAACTTGACCACCGGATCTTCCAGTCGCACCAGCCCGTCTTCTACCAACATCATAAACGCCACCGTTACCTTCGATCTCAATAACATGCCTGCTCTCGCACTTACTAGTTACTAGCATATTAACTTATGCTGTGCCCTCTGCAAAAGAGTGCAAAGACTGCAACCGGTAAGGCCAGATTGGAAGTAAGAGCACAAAAGTTTTGGTCACGCAGAAGACGCGGCAGATGGTGTCCAGCCGGAATGCCCGGTGCGCCTCCAAGTCTGCAAAGCCAAAGGCTTTGGCTTGCACGACTTCCCCCTTTTTGAGCACAACGCTGGCGCAGCCCGGAATCACATTCTTGCGGGATGCGTGCTTCATGGCCATCTCGTACTTTCGAAAGGCAGAGGGACAAAGGCCCGCAGACCGCGGATCCGACACTACCAGGCTTGTGTCTTTTGCGCTGGTTCGCAGCATGCGCATGAGTCCTGGACGTCTGCAGCTCGTGAGATTCCGCCTGGAGCGTCTCTTCGCAGTGTCCCCTCGATGTTTGTGTCCGCGGAGAAGAACCATGGCTTCAGCAAGGTTGCTACGAAACGAAGCTGTGTAGGTTCGTCCGCAGGGCCGGCAAAGCCCTGTCGCTACGGGACTGGGGTGGGCTCTAGACTCTGAACCGTCGCAGCATGTCAACACACCGCAGTCTTACCTTGGCGTCCCGAAGGTTTACTTTTCGAGGCGACCATCATCTGCGCTTCTTGGTCATGGCAGCCCACAGTGATGCTGTGTTAGTTTTCCTTTTGCAACTTGTCGAAGCTCTCCGTATTAATTAAGTCGTGGAGCGACTCGGCGCTAGGAAATAGCATGCTTTCTAGCAAGCAGCACCTCCATTCTCAGCACCCAAATTACTTGAAGGCAAAACAGGAGTTGGGGCCCTTGAGTAAAGGCTGCCATGAATCGCGTCAACATCAGTTTCTTGGCTTGAATGAGCCAACAGCTGCGCACCAGGAATCCTCAGGGTCACGGGAATCGATGCACCGAAGGCCCACGTCTTTCTTGGCACCCCTCGCCCCTGCTCCCCCTCTAAATATGGGACTTTCCGAAAATAGGGGACCCTAATATAGCACCCTAACTAGTAGGATCCTTATTATAAGGACCCCAAAATAAGGTACCCCCTATTTTCGGAAACTCCCAAATATGCGAGTATGCATCCTCAGCTGCCGACCTCCGGGTCTCGGAAGCCGTGGCCTCATCGCCTCGGAGGAGCGCCTTGGGGTGTAAAAGAAGGGCCGCCGGCTTTGGTTCAGGGCCCGTTTCGATTTCGGCGCTCACACTCGTTTCGATTTAGGGCTTAGGGGGTTTAGGGTTTAGGGGGTTTAAGGTTGGGTTTAGGGCGTTTCGGCGCCCCCACTCGCACAAGGCAGGCAAGGCTCCACATAGTCCACAGTAGCTCCACCACTCAGAGCAGGACTGATACTGATGACACCATCTATCCAACGAGGTCCTTCAAATACCATGAGACATGTAATATCAAAGACGTTTGATACCAGCATCTCCCCACAGTTTCGGGTCATGTGCTCTCTGTTTCAATGCAGCAACATGCAGTGCGACAGCACAAGGCTCAGGAACACCCAGCGCTGTGCAGCATGCATCCACTTCAGCACTACGCATCACACAGAAGTCGTGCTGGCTGCGAATCAAATTCCAGATCTTCGGCAGGGTTCGGGGTTAGGGTTTAGGGAATGTGTGAAGGATGCAGATTTAGGGGTTGAGGCTTCCGGGGGAGTCCCAAAGGCCTGGCTTCTGCTTCGGTTCCCAGAATGTGCAGGACGTCTGCTGCACATGACATTCTGTTCTGTTGTCGAGCAATGCCATGTTTCTGATAGGATAGGAGTGCTACTCACGACTAGCCGGTGTGCTGATACTGAGGCTCCAGCACTCTGCAGCAAATACCTGGACTTGTCCAAAGATAGGCTGTGCAGCGACTTCACTCGGTTCTACTTGAGGTGTCTGGGGTTTGTGGAAACGGTTCATGCTCAGGGTTCAAGGGATTAGATTGCTTAAAGGATCCACAGTTTTAGTTGCCTTGTAGTTAGGATTCTTATGTGTGGGCTTGGGGGATGATGCGCGGAATCTGGACCGCCGGCTCCCATGTTCGAATGACTCGGGAGACCTTCTGAGCTTTCAAAGCCAACCGCGAGCACGAGAGGGTTAGGGTTTAGGGAGCTCCAACGAAAGAAATCCAACTTCTGCGCTGTTCTTCCTTACGGTGCAGGACTTGGTTAGTGACTCAGCCCTTCGACCTTCGACCATCTTGGAGGGAGTTTGTGTTTCATTTGCTGCAGTGGCAAGGGTCCTCAATGAGGCTCCAAGCCGGAGCTTTTCGCATCTCTGTGGAGTTTAGGGCTTTGGGGGGTTGTTCCAACAGAGCCCGTCTGCGAATCAAGGAAGTTCAAAGGCACCTACAAACCCTTTTTGAACCCCAAAACACTCCACTACTTTGATTTGCAGCATTCCTGTCTAGGCCTTCTTTTCCATCATGGCTCGGAACCATGGTGCACGGTACTACTTCTACTGCTCCCCAGGCCTTGGTACCTGGGCGGGGTTTAACGCACCTCACCTGAGCAAAATACTACAGCACAGCATTTCGTAGCTGAGCTTTCACGGGATCGGCTTCGCCTCTGGTGATGATGGTGTTTCCACCCACCTTCCCCAACCATCTCCAAATCACACGCGTTATAACTTAGACACCAGAGTGGAGCTGTACATTAACCCGTTCCTCCAAGATACTCTGACATCAAACGCTTGATGAAAAGCCTGGTCCAGCAGGTACCGAACTTTATGTTCGCAAAAATGTTTTACAGTTCTGCCGAACCTAGCGAATTGCCATACAGGGTGCCACGAGAGTGTTAACCACAATACCTTTGCAGTGCAGTTTCCAACCTTCCGTGGAATACAATGCGTGCCAGCATCCATCATCTCCGCTAGCACATCTTCTGGGGTAAGGTGTTGACGGAACTTTGCCATGATTGAAAGTTTCGCCTCCTCCCTCGCAGACTGGTCAGTAGCCAGGTTGCACATGGCATCCATATGCTTTTTTGGCCACTTGTGTACTGCAGGGGCATGGGCTGAAGTACGTTCCAAGGGCATGGAAATATTCTTGCTGTGAGGGATAAGTCTCAAGCGCCTCGATTTCGCATTCATCTGCACGCGGAACTGAAGGAATTGTACTTCTTTATCCTCAACCTCACTGAACCTCACGATTTCTTCACATTGTAGCTTGAAAAATCCTGCTTTGCTCTTAAGCTTCTGGAACCATGCGATGAACTTCTCGTAAGAGCTCGCTAAGATGAGGATGTCATCTCTATACCTGAGTAGCATGTCAATACCAACACTTTCCAGGGCATCCTTCTCCACCATTCCTCTTTCTGCTTTGTGATAGAATGCCGAATCCGCAATGCCCGCACTGTGTGGTAAGCCCATGCCACTGCCCTCGACGACTTGGTACATCAGGTTCGCGGCTTCACTCCTCACAAACTGAGAACCTAAAAGTACATCGACGACCTCCTTCATGACGACTTTCTTTGAACTTTCATCCTCATCAAATGCTTTCAAGGCCTCCTCTGCTAGTTCACGCAGTCCCCCGCAAACGAAGAACTCCCGTATGTCAATGCGCACTAGCCTGTGGTTCGTGTCCAACCTGACCCCCAGTTGTTTGACACGTCTCGAGACCTCGACTGCCGACTGGACTAGGTGCTGCAATTCCGATAACTTGCACATCAGCTGTCTTTGAAGCCATACGCCCAACCCTTTGAACGCATAGCCAGACGAACAATGCAGATTGCGTACTGAAATTTCTCCTTGTGGCTTTGTTGTTTTGACCGTGACAGATAGTTTCGAAGACAACCTTGCACCTGGAAGACGAGTGGTTTTCCTCAGCTGTGCTGCTAGGGCATCATCGTTTTCCAGTTTTTGCACACTCTTGACGGCCATGAGGTAGCTTTTGTACCACGTGTCCATAACATATCTGTCATCTGCCACATCCACGTACATAGACTTTTCGAAGATTTTCTGGTGGATTTCAGCCTCCTCGTGCTTCTGAACCAACACGAACGAACCGGTTTTGTCTGTTGGCAGCGCCTTCCAGTTTGAATCTCGCAATAATCTCAAACCCCATCTTATCAACGGAGTAACATTTGACCACCTTTTCTTCATCCATTTCGGTCTTTTGATTGCCTGCTTTGCATCCTGGACCAAGCACTTACGCAGTCTATCAAGCCAACACTGTAAACCTCCATCCACTGTTTCCACACACGGTGTACGGCTTTTGAAGGTGATTGACGGTTTTGTAGATTGCGCATGCCTGAAAAACCATCTCCACTTCACTCTGTCACTGAAGCTTTTGATCTCCCCCTCAAAGGTCTGGATTGATGGCATTTTCCTGGAAGCCCAAATATGCTTTTTGTTGTACCTTGACAGGATCCACACAATAGGCCATGGGACTCCATGTAGTGCAACGGGTTGGACTTCACATGCATCTGGAACATAGACTGCTACCTTCTCTTCTAAAAGGTCGTAGTTTTTGATCCACCACCAATCCTGCGCGGAAGCACCCTCCATCAATTCCATGAACCTCTTTGCTCTCTGCTGCTGTTGCCTTTGTTCCACTCCTGCTTGTCTCCATCTTGCCATCCGAAGCCTTTTCTTCTGTAGCCTCCGGCTTTGAATGGATTCGTCATGGAATTGTATCCTTTGCCTGTTCCCATAGCGGCTCCTTTCTGATTGTATTGGTGGTGCTGATGCCAATGAGGGTATTTTTGCTTCTTGCCTTTGTCTCCTTTCTTCCCTTTTCCTTTGTTCTTGTTGCTTGCTTTGCCTTTGTTTGTAGAGGTTTTGCTCCAATGCCCTTTGCCTCCACTCCAAAGGGCTCCACCGTTTTTTTGCAAGGCTTCGCACATGCGGTCAACTTGACAATCCTGTCCTGGTTTATGCTCCGTGTGCTCCTCATTCGCTTCTTCACCCTGCATCTCTTGGTCCTCTTCTTCCTTATCCTTCCTGATTTCCTTCACCTTCTCAGCAACCATCTGGTTCACCACGTCTCGCATGAGTGTTGCTGGATGGTTATCCTTCAACTCATTCATCTCTTTCTCTTTCCTTTTCTGTTGTTTTTCCTCCTTTTCCTTCATCTTTTGCTCCTCCTTGCGGACTTCTTCAATCATCTTCCCATACTCCATGTCCTGCACAACCTTGATCGCATTGTCAATGTTCTTTGTGTTCACCGGGTCGTCCAAGTCAAGTTTGTCAACCTCAGTAGCATCTTTGATTGCTGCGGCACACTCCTCAAAGATCTTCTCCCTGTTATTCCTTAGCTTTTCTTTCTCCACTCTTTCTTTCATAGCCTCAAGGTTTATTCTCTTTGACTCCTTCGTGAAAGCATGGTGCATGATTGCCAAGGCCTCTTTCCTCGTTGATCCTTGCTGAACCTCTATCTGGAAGACATACTTATCGCGAATAGCTTCCCCAAAATACTCGTCCAGCTCTACCATGTCTGACTGGCATCTAAACGGCCTCGTGCC